TTAAATCTTAAACCAAACTTTCAGTACCTTGCAATATTAAGAAAATTGGACTGGGATTCTAGAGTTAAAAAACAAGAACAATAATATCTTAGTTATATTTATTGCACATTTAATTTATTCCATGTACTAGTACCACTTGTTTCAAATGAGATAATGAATATAATTGCTGAGTGCAGTACCTGACATATAGTATATGCTCAATAAATATTAGCTGTTGTTATTTATTTATTTACTTACTTATTTTTGTTAATTCTCACTTGAGAATATTTTTTTCATTATTTTTAGAGAGAATGGAAGGAAGGGGTAGAGACAGAGAGAAACATTGATATGAGAGAGACACATCGATTGGTTGCCTTCCGCACATCGAGACCGGGATCAAGCCTGCAACTGAGGTACTTGCTCTTGACCAGAATTGAACCTGAGACCTTCAGTCCATGGGCCAAAACTCTAAATACTGAGCAAAGCCAGCTAAGGCTGCTGTTCTTTATTTATTTTTAAATATATTTTATTGATTTTTTACAGAGAGGAAGGAAGAGGGATAGTGCTCAACAATATTTTTTTGTAAATGTAGACAAGTTTATCTTAAAATTGAAATGGAAAGCCCTGCCAAAACCGGTTTGGCTCAGTGGATAGAGCATCGGTCTGTGGATTCGATTCAGGTCAAGGGCATGTACATTGGTTGCGGGCACATCCCTGGTAGGGGGTGTGCAGGAGGCAGCTGGTTGATGTTTCCTTGTCATCGATGTTTCTAGCTCTCTATCCCTCTCCTTTCCTCTCTGTAAAAATCAATAAAATATATTTAAAAGAAAAGAAATGGAAAGCCCTGGCCAAGCAGCTCAGTTGATTAGTGTCATTCCAATGTGCCAAGGTTGAACACATAAAAGAATCAACCAATGGATGCATAAATAAATGGAGCAACAAACCAATGATTCGCTCTCTCTTTCTCTTCCCTCACTCCCTTTGTCCCCCTCCCCCCACTCAAAACAATAAATAAAAAATTTTAATTGGAATGGAAAGGCTAAGGAATACTGAAAATAGTATTGAAAAAAGAAGAATAAAATCGAGGAATCATATTACCTGATTTTAAGAATTAGAATACAGCTATAGTAATCAAGACAGTGTGTTAGTGTCAGGGAGTTAGACACAAAGATTAATGGGAATAGAATAGAGAATCCATAATAGACTCACACAAACATAGCCAACTGATTTTTGACAAAGGCAAAGACAACTCAATTGAGAAAGGATAATTCTTTTTAATAAATGGTGTTGGAACAATTGCATATCCATATGTACACAAAAACCCCTTTATCAAAACTTCACACATTATAGAAAAATTAACACAAAGTAAATCATAGATGTAAATGAAAACCATAAATCTGTATACTTTTAGAAGAAAACAGAAAAATCTCTGTATCCTAGGTTTGGGCAAAGAGTACTTAGATATCAAATGCGCAAAAGAAAAAAAGTTGATAAACTGGACTTCATCAAAAGTAAAAATGTCTGGCCGAAGCCGATTTGGCTCAGTGGTAGAGCGTCGGTCTGCGGACTGAAGGTCCCAGGTTCGATTCCGGGCAAGGGCATGTATCTTGGTTGCGGGCACATCCCCGGTAGGGGGTGTGCAAGAGGCAGCTGGTTGATGTTACTCTCTCATCAAGGTTTCTAGCTCTCTATCTCTCTCCTTTCCTCTCTGTAAAAAATCAATAAAATAATTTTTTTTAAAAAGTAAAAATGTCTGTTCTGTGAAAGATACTATTAAGACAGTGGTCAGCAAAATCATTAGTCTACAGAGCCAAATATCAACAGTACAACGATTGAAATTTCTTTTGAGAGCCAATTTTTTTCAACTTAAACTTCTTCTAACGCCACTTCTTCAAAATAGACTTGCCCAGGCCATGGTATTTTGTGGAAGAGCCACACTCAAGGAGCCAAAGAGCCGCAGTTTGCCAACCATGGTGTTAAGAGATTGAGAAGACTGGGAGGAATATTTGTAAATAATTGTATTGCCAATAAAGGATTTGCATTATCCTGAATAGACAAAGAAATCTCTAAACTCAACAGTAAGGAAACAAACAATTCAATTTAAAAATGGGCAAAAGATGTGAACAGACACATCATCAAAAGAGATACATGGATGGCATATAAGCACACTCAAAAAATATGTTTATAGCAGTTCTGTTGGTCTATGCAATGATTTAGACAAGTCTCAAAGGCCTCATGCTGAATGAAAGAAACCAGTCTCAAAGGATTGCATACTGTATGATTCCATTTATATGAACTTACTTTTTAAAAAAATTTTTAATTAAATTATTATATGTGTACATATCTTACCATTGCCCCCCCCACTCCCATACATGCCCTCCCTCCCTCCCCAGAGTTTTGGGTCCATTGGTTATGCTTATATGCATGCATACAAGTCCTTTGGTTGATCTCTTATCTCTCCCTACCCTCACCGCTGTAATTTGACAGTCTGCTTTTTGCTTTACTGTCTCTATATCTATCTTTTGGTTCATCAGTTTATAATGTTTTTTATCATCCATAAATGAGTGAGGTCATGTGGTGTTTCTCTTTCATTGACTGGCTTATTTCACTCAGCCTGATGTTCTCCAATTCCATCCAGGTTGCTGCAAATGATAAGAATTCCTTCTTTTTTATGCCAGCATAGTATTCCATTATATAGTTTTACCATAGTTTTTTGATCCAATCATCTGCTGAACTTTCTTTAAAAAAAAAAAAAAAAGTATTTCTTTATTGATTTCAGAGAGGAAGGAAGAGGGAGAGAGATAAAACATTAATGATGAGAGAGAATCACTGATTGGCTGCCTCTTGCACGCACCCTAAGGGAGATCGAGCCCCCACCCTTGCATATGCCCTTGGCCAGAATTGAACCTGGGACCCTTCAGTCCGCAAGCCTACGCTCTATCCACTGGGCCAAACTGGGCTAGGGCAATATATGAACTTCCTGATAAAACTATGGTGATGGAGAAAATGTCAGTGGTTGGCAGAGGTTAGGGGTGGGGGGAAAGGGTGTGACTGACTACAAAGGGATAACAGTTTTCTGGTTGATGAAACTGTTCTATATCCTGATTGCCACAGTGGTTACAGGGATCTCTGTGTATGTTAAAATTTGTTGAACTCTCTATATCAAAAGAAACAGTTTTACAAAATTAAAAACCACTTTTTTTTAAAGAGGCAGAATACATATTGCTCTGAAAGTATCAAATCATGGCTATAAAATTGCTCTGGTCTTTCACTATGAAAGAAGACATGAAGCAATGTAATAGCAATTGTATGACAGCTCAGAAGAAATGTTCCCTGTCCCACCTCTCTCAAAGACTTTTTTTCTATCTAGACTTTTATATTTCAAATATGCCAAATCTATTTTAAAGACAGACCAAATCATACTATATAATACAGTTGTGCTCCTAAAGCAGCAACTCTAGATTACTTTGAATCTTTTAATGTGCTTTTTCAAAAGTATTTAAAATGTTAAAACTATTAAGATAAGAAAAACTGTTTTATAGTTTTCAGGTTTTCCAGGTATTTTTATTCCTTGCATCTCAACTCTACCACCTCACACACACAAAGGTTTTTCTTCTGCAAATTGTACAGCTCCAGGTGGGGTATTGGGGGATGAGAAGCAGGTTTTATACAGCTGATGTGATCACTGAACAGACAAGCTTGGAAAATGCTACTCAATCTGCCAATTAATTAAAGCATTAATCTGCGGAGCAGCCGGGCCAAGGGAGTGTTTACCCACCGGGTGGGGGTGGTAGGAATTGAGTGGGAAGAAGCCCCTGCAGTATCATGAAAATGAAGGTGTTTAGGAAGCCTAACTTTCTTTCATCTCTAAGGTGAGCAACCTTGATGTTATCCCTACATCTTTCTGGCCTATTTAGGAAGTCTTTCAGGGAGCTGGTTTCTGACTGATGAAAGCACAGCATATTGTAGAAAAACAAATTAAACCTTGGTCAAAGTGGTGTAGGGAGCAAGTCCAGTGTAGTATAACTTCTCAGACCTTCTAAATTCAAGAGTATGTGCTGGTGATTAGGGAAAAGAAATGTAATGATTTTACAAGTTTCACAACCATATACTATACTGACTGGGCTCAAATCCCAGCTCTGCTTCTTATTAACTGTATAATTAATCATCTATCTTATCTGAGCCTTAAATTTCCCCTTCATCTAAGGGCAGTTAGCCCTCTGCTTGCTGTAGGCAGAAAGAAAGCTAGAGAGAGGTTAGGACCATCCAAAATTACAATCTGCCTCCATGTGTAGGGACTGAGTAACCTTTTGTTCTTGTTAGGTTTACATATGAATGTATGTGTGTATGTATGTATATTCGTTTGTTTTAGCACGGTTCTATAAACCTCAAGATTCCCACCCCCCATCTTCCTGAGATGTGTTTATACATTCTTTTTTTTTTTTTTAATATATTTTATTGATTTTTCACAGAGAGGAAGGGAGAGGGACAGAGAGTCAGAAACATTGATGAGAGAGAAATATGGATCAGCTGCCTCCTACACACTCCCCACTGGGCATGTGCCCACAACCAAGGCACATGCCCCTGACCAGAATCGAACCTGGGACCCTCTAGTCCGAAGGCCGTTGCTCCGTCCACTGAGCCAAACCGGCCAGGGTTATACATTCTTTATCTCTAAGAGAAGTGACTGATCATAATAGGGAAAGACAAAGACAGCAGCTCATCCCAGGATCTCTTTGACCATATTGGCTGTACCAAGATGAGGTTTTACCTCATCTATAAGGAGGATGGACATGGAAATTGACCCAGCAATATTTGATGGTATTAAGGAATTAAAAATTGTGGTAATAGATACATAACATAAAATCTATCTGACCCATTTTTATTGTTAATTTAAAAACCATGATAATATTGCTCTGGCAACTAAGAATTCGAGCCTCATGACAAATAAGAAGGACCTTTTTTTAGAATTTAGCTTTTTGTTAAATGGCACCTGTTCATTTTCCTTTCTTTTCTTGCAGAACTCTCAGAAATTGAGCCCAATGTATTCCTTCGTCCGTTTTTGGAAGTGATTCGCTCTGAAGATACCACTGGGCCTATCACTGGACTGGCACTCACCTCTGTCAACAAGTTCCTGTCCTATGCACTCATAGGTAAGAGACCAGGCTTTTTGGATAGCACTTCATTTCCTGCCCTTCCCGCTGGTCAGGCTTTAGGCAATGAGCTGGTGATACTGGAAAGTTTTTCCCAGCCATCTTTCCTTGTAGAAGAGAGATAGAATTATTGCTTACTTATCATGCTAATTGATTCAGACTTTGCAAGTGAAGAGAGAGAAGAGGTTTCTTGGAGTTCTAATTTCTTTGTGCTTTGCAGGGAGTTAAGGGTTTGGTGGGTGCTCTTAGAGGTTTGGTTTGGTTTGGTTTCTCTTTCATTGTACTGGATGACTCTCCTAGCAGCTGAGCCACATCATACAGGGCTTGGTTTGATTTATTTTATTTTATTTTATTTTTATTTTTTGGTTTGGTTAATTTAAAAAGTTAGTTTTTAAATGTAATGCATGCTTATTTTAAGATAAACAATAAAGAGGTATCTAAATAAAAGTTAATGGACTCTCCTCTATCTTTCTTAGTGCTACTCTTTCCTTAGGTAAATATGTTAACAGACTGGTTTGAATCTTTCCATACCTTTCTCCACATGTATATAAATATATAAAGAGTACCATCGGGGTTTTTTCCCCCTTTTTCTTTTTCTTTTTTCTTTTTTTAGTTTTTAAAAATATATATTTTTTATTGATTTTTTTATAGAGAGGAAGCGATAGGGATAGAGAGTTAGAAATATCATCTGCCTCTTGCACACCCCCTACTGGGTTGTGCCCGCAACCAAGGTACATGCCCTTGACTGGAACTGAACCTCGGACCTTTTACTCCACAGGCCAACGCTCTATCCACTGAGCAAAACTGGTTTTGGCTCCCTTTTTCTTTTTCTTTTTTAAATGCGTTTTTATTGATTTCAGAGAGAGGAAGAGAGAGGGAGAGATAGAAATATCTCTATGCCTCCTGAATCCCACCTACCCTTCCCCGCTTGTTCCCCCCCTCCCGCCCTCACACACACAATGGGAATAGAGCCTGCAACCGGGGCATGTGCTCCAATCTGAATTGAACTGGTGCATGGGTCGATGCTCAACCACTGAGCCATGCCAACTGGGCAAAAGTACCATCTTTTTAAAAAGCAAAAATAAAATAGATTATGTGCTACATATTTTCTTTTTTTATTTAACAGTATTAATTCTATTAATTTTCCTTTTATATCAACCCAGGAACCAAGAGGTTGCTAGTTGACTTCAGGTCAGGGCACATTCCCTGGCTGTGGGCTTGATCCCCAGTAGGAAGTGTGCAGGAGGCAGCCGATTGATGATTCTCTCATCATTGATATTTCTATTTCTCTATCCCTCTCTCTTTAACTCTCTCTAAAAAGCAATTAAAAATTTTAAAAATAAAAATAGACTATTTTTAAAATATTATTTTAAAAAATAGTATTGACTGCCCTAGCCAGTTTGGCTCAGTGGATAGAGTGTCAGCCTGCAGACTGAAGGGTACCAGGTTTGATTCCAGTCAAGGGCACATGCCTGGAGTGTGGGCTCCATCCCCAGTAGGGGGCATGCAGGAGGCAGCTGATCAATGATTCTCTCTCATCATTGATGTTTTTATCTCTCTCTCCCTCTCCCTTCCTTTCTGAAATCAATAAAAATATATTTAAAAAAGAAAAAAATATTGATTTTGAAAAATGTACATATATAATTTCTCTCTCCCCATTTTATTGAGATATAATTGACATATAACTTTGCATTAGTTTAAGGTGTACAGCATAATGATTTGATATACTTATAAATACCAGAGTAGTTAAAATCTTTCACCTCATATAATTGCAATTTTTTTTTCTTTTGATGAGACCTTTTAGGATCTGTCTTAGCTAGTTATGGTATTTGTTAATTATAGTGACCATGCTGTACATTACATCCTTAGAACCTATTAATTTTGTAATTTGAAGCTTATATATTCTTTTTTTTATTGTCTTAAAACCTATAATATAAAATTAGCCATTTAAATCATTTTAAGTATATAATTAAGTGGCATCATTACATTCACAATGTTGTGCAACCATCAGCACCATCTGTTTCCTAAACTTTTTCATCACACCAAAAAGAAATTTTCTTCTCAACCCTAGTAAAAAATTTTGTGTTTTTGATAGCTATATAATTTCCATAGTATAGATATAACTCAGTCCATTTGGTCATTATCTTATTGATTAATATTTAATACTTAGATTGTTTCCCATTTTGAGCCATTATAAATGCTGAAATAAGCATGTTTGTTCATATATTCTATTCTATTAATTTTCCTTTTATATGATAGGTTCCTATACTTGAAATTTATGGATTAAAAGGTCACGTGCTTACTATATTTTCATAGGTACTACCTGGTTACTTTACCAAAAGCTTACAGCATTTGCACTTCCAACAGTAATTTTTGAGAGTTTCCATTTCCCCACTCTATCACCAGCACTGAATATTATCAGTATTCTTTTTTTAAAAAAATATATTTTATTGATTTTTTTACAGAGAGGAAGGGAGAGAGATAGAAAGCAAGAACATCGATGAGAGAGAGTCATCGATCAGCTGCCTCTTGCACACCCCCTACTGGGGATATGCCCGCAACCAAGGTACATGCCCTTGACCGGAATCGAACCCGGGTCCCTTCAGTCCCCAAGCCGACGCTCTATCCATTGAGCCAAACTGGTCTCGGCTATCAGTATTCTTTATTTGTGCTAATTTGATGGGTGAAAACTGGTATTTTGTTGTTTTTATTTCCTTGAGGTTGAACATTTGAATTTATTCTTCTTCGCCTATCATTTTATTGAGTTGTTTTTTGTTTTTCTTATCAGTTTGTAGGAATTTTTTATATAGTGGGGATACTAACCCATTGTCTATCACAGTATTGCAAATATTTTCACCCAATTATTTTATCCAGTCTATTGTTTATCTCTGATTTTGTTTATGGTGTCTCTTTTGAATTCCTTTTAGTTGGTCCTATTACTCAGGATCCTGAATTCCTTTTCCCCTATTGATAGCCCATGTGCAAGGGTAAGGAACATAGAAAACAGGCTGCTGTTTTTGTTTCTAAGAAGACAAGAAAAGAGGAAGCTCAGAGTGAAGCTAGCCAGAAAGAAAAATGGCCTTCAATATAGGGCCAAAAAATTTGTTTATCTTTTCTAGAAAGTTGGATTTGCTTAGCTGGCATATTCAAGATCTCAGCTATTTTCTGAATAGGCACACCAGAATCTCCAGACATCCTAGTCCTAGCTTTATACTTTTCCTATGCAAAAATCAAGCCCAGCTACTTCCAGCCTTGTCCTGAGCACCACCTGCAGGTCATCTCTCTTCACAGCCTCCAGCAGCTGCTCGCTGCGTCTTTTCCCTGCTCTCCTGTTGATGTAACTCTCTCCCCTTCCTGGAGTTGGCAGACAAGCTGGTCATTGGAGACCTCAAGCCAGCTGGTCATTGGAGTTTCCTGTGGTGGGAAAAGAAAATGCTGGAGGTGGTGATTGCAGTGGGCATGAGAAAAGGAGCAGGAAGGAGTATATGAAAGCCAGAAGGCAAAGTAGATGAAATTGGCAAATTTCTCTGTAGTCTGCTCCAGAGTGGCCAAGGAAGGACATTCTACGGAGTGGGTCCTGGGGAGCACAAGGTCTGCTAAGTGACTTCAAGTCAAACACTCCTTTGTTTAGGCTGCCTTTTTAGAAGACTACCCCCTCAATTCTGTGTCCCAAGACTTTTAGGATTATTTTAGGTCTTATTTCAAGGACCAGGCTTTTATTTGGCCCCACACAGCTGCCAGACCAGAATTTGTGCCATTGACCGCCTGCCTTACTGGTGGGCCATGTCTACTATAGTTAAAGACCTGTCATTCTTACTACTTCATTCAGGCTCAGAGGATAAGGGCTACAAAAAGATCCATATAGCCTGGCCCGAGTGGCTCTGTTCGTTGAGCAGCATCCTGTGCACTGGAAAGTTGCCGGTTTGATTTTCAGTCAGGGCACATGCCTGGGTTGTGGGTTTGTGGGTTTGATCACCAGTTGGAGCATACAAAAGGCAACTGATTGATAGATGTTTCTCTCTCTCTCTCTCTCTCTCTCTCTCTCTCTCTCTCTCTCTCTCTCTCTCTCTCCCTTCCTCCCTCTCTGCCTCCATCCCTCCCTTCCTCCCTCTTTCTCTCTTCACCCTCTCTCTAAAATCATTAAAAACATATTTTTTTATTTATTTATTTATTTATTTATTTATTTTTAAAAAGAGCTTAAACTTCTTGAATAAGGGAGATTTCTGAAGGAGGGGAAGACATGGGCCCCCAAAAGCCTTACGAGATGAGCTCTGAAACACCATGCGACACTGAGAAGGACTTGGATTTCGTGTTCAAGAAAAGGTCCCTGGAGGCCTGAAAAAGGACTGTCTGGCAAGGCTGAGAGAGGGGATTCAGGCAACTGCCCAGAGTGTACAGGCATACCTCAAAGATATGTTGGTTCCGTTCCAGACCACTGCAATAAAGCAAATCATAATTGTTGCTGGTGGAGGGTCTTGCCTTCAATTTCTACAAAATATCATCTGTTAAGTGAAATAAAATGAAACACAATAAGGCAAGGTATACCTTTGGATTTTCTGTGTTGATTGGGAGAAACAAGGAGAGTTGAGGTGATAGAAGGAGCTGGTTTACCCCATCTATACTATTAAAAGCCTAGATGGTCCTCATGCCCTCACGCACAATGTCACCACAAGATGGCCACGTGTATAGCAGAGGTGGGGTCCGATAGCTGCTCCACACAGTGAGGCCTGGAGGTCCCTCGCCTTCAACCTGGCACAGAGGAGGCGGGTCCTGGCAGAGGGAGCAGGTCAAAGCAGGAGAGGGCAGTTGTGGGCGATCAGGCTGGCAGGGGAGGGCAGTTGGGAGCGATTGGGCCGGGAGGGGAGCAGTTAGGGGGTGATCAGGCTGGCAGGCAGAAGTGGTTAGGGGCAAGGAGGCTGGCAGGCAGGTGAGCCATTAGGAGCCAACAATCCCAGATTGTGAGAGGGATCCTAGATAGGAGAGGGTGCAGGTCGAGCTGAGGGGACCCTCCCCGCATGAATTTCGTGTACTGGGCCTCTAGTATACTATATATATCATCATGAAATTGGCTTCCTTCTGCATGACCTCTAAAGTAGCCACTCCTGATGCTGAGTAAAGGCATGTTGTATGTAGGACAAAAGCAGTCTGATTAAGTGTCAGAGACTAACCAGGACAGAAAAGAAAGATGAAAATCACTTATAATCATGAAAGTCTTCTGGCTCATTGTTGCAAGGGAAATGTTCTGGTTTCTTAGCCATCCCCTGAGCTTTAGGCTCAAGAACTCTGATAATTTCAGAGAACAGGATAGATAAAATGATAAAGATTTCTTACAATTCCTACCACTTAAAATTAAAAGGTGCTCCTGAATTACATCATGCTACCGCTAGAGCAACTTTTCTGTCAGTTGCAAAATTTTTTCATGTCCCTACCCCTTTTTTTCCTACTTATCCTCCCATTCAAGGACAATCCAGATAGTTCTCAGGACCCTTTAGACCTTGGGGGATGCCACTTCTTTGGCTACTTCTAGTGGACACTTAACACATGAAAGGAACAGAAATTTCCCCTTGGCAACATTTGTGTTAGCTTCCAGCATGGTGCTGATTGTCTGACCTCTAGCTTTTCCCCTTATCTTATTCACAGTTGAAATTCTTGCCGAAACCGGTTTGGCTCAGTGGTAGAGCGTTGGTCTGCGGACTGAAAGGTCCCAGGTTTGATTCCGGTCAAGAGCATGTACATTGGTTGCGGGCACATCCCCGGTAGGGGGTGTGTAAGAGGCAGCTGGTCGATGTTTCTCTCTCATCGACGTATCTAGCTCTCTATCTCTCTCCCTTCCTCTCTGTAAAAAATCAATAAAATATTTTTTTTTAAAAAGAAATTCTCCCTCCAACTCCCCAGTAGCCACCTCTCAGTCCTGTTTAGTTTGTGCATTTTCTCTCCTAATGCCTGTTTAGTTAAGCTGGTAACAGGATTCTTGCTCTGTGTCATATTGTATTAAGAACAAAATGAAATCAGGAAGAAGTATGTGATTTGCTGTAATGTGGCACCCAGATTTGAGTATTAGTGGCAGTGACTGTCTATTTCCTCCCCTACTTCCCTTCTCAGTGGCATCTGAACACAAAATTCCAAAAGCAACTAGAGAGGGATGTATGGAAAGAAAACACATGAAGAAAGAAAGGCTGCAGCTTTAGCATTTATAGATTTTGCCCTATTCGGCCTTTATTCTGGGCCAAAAATTCATATTTCCTGTCCCTCTTTCTGTGAAATGAGTAGCTTTACACCAGTGATTCCCAAAGTGTGGTCCCCATAAGCAGCGGTGTTAACATCACCTGGGATCTTGTTAGAAACACAAATTCTCTGGCCTCCCTCTAGACCTGCTATATCAAAAATTCTGAGAGTGAGCCCAGCAATTTATATTTTTAACAAGCCCTCCAAATGATTTGACATATGCTTAAGTTTGAGAATCACTGTTTTACACAGGGGAGTTTATGCTGAGGAGCTTATTAAAGTAGTTTATAGGCTAAAATTCTCAGGTAGCCCAAGGAACCATGAATTAAGGAACTGAAGAGGAGAAAACCAAAGTTCCACATCATTTAGTCTTTCCTTTTTCATTGGACAGATCCTACTCATGAGGGCACAGCAGAGGGCATGGAGAATATGGCAGATGCTGTCACCCACGCCCGTTTTGTGGGCACGGATCCTGCCAGCGATGAGGTTGTCCTGATGAAAATCCTTCAGGTAAATGGAGGGGAAGAGCAGTTAGGCTAATGGCCAGGAGCTGGTGCCATTGGCTCTACTTACCCCAGTCTGCCAGCAGCAGGAAGCTGTGTTTTGACTCCACTGGGGCTTAGGGAGCTACTTTGTTTCCAAACAAGCAGCTCGGGTACCCAAAGTAAAAGCTTTTCCTAAAGAAAATAATTAAAAGCTTTAAATGAATTGATATCAAATACCAGAAGCCCTTAATACACTTGTATCTCTGGCAGCCTGTATCTGTGCCATCCATCTGTTGAGCTTGCAGGCTAGGCCTGGAAAGAGCTCTGAACTATGTCAGGGTCATACAAAGTAAAGACACAGTTCCCAAGACAAGATTCTGGGAGACCCCACTGCCAAACTGAAGCAAGATCAGCATTCTTGCAAACCTCTCTTTATCATTCCGAGTGCTTCCATAGGAGACTAGGTGAACAAGAGATAGCTTCTTTCCCCTCAGGTACACCCTTCATCTTGCCTGCCTTGTTTATCACTGTATCTTCTCTTTCTTCCTTGTAGGTTTTGCGGACTCTCTTGCTGACCCCGGTGGGTGCCCACTTAACCAATGAATCTGTTTGTGAAATTATGCAGTCTTGCTTCCGGATCTGCTTTGAAATGAGGCTCAGTGGTAGGTGCTTGAATATTGGGCCCTTCACCTTCCCTATGGCTATTGTGAGTATGAATACAGGATACTATCCCTGAATCCTGAGAGGTGGAAAACTTAAGATTTCTCTATCACCTACCTTGTGGACCATAGGAGTCTAGAATTCTCTCTGTACTTGACTGTTTTGCAGCTAGAATAGAGAACTTAGCCAATGTGCCAGAGCAAGAATTAGAATAGATCCCTGACTAACTCCGGCCAGGCACCAAATCTCCCTCCCCAGAGATTTCTGGGATTGACACCAGCCAACATCCCTAAGAACACAATCATTGCACCCCTTTTTTTCTGACTCAGTAATGCCACCTAGTGGACCAGTGAAGTTATGGATGCTGGCCTGAGCTGGATGGAGCTGGTTTTAATAAGTTTGGCATAATCCTTGGTAAACAAGGTTTGGAGGGGAGTCTGCTCTGAGAAGCCTCCTGATAATAGCACGGCAAGTAATGACACCTGTGTTATTTGTTTTTGCCTGTGCAGAGTTATTGAGAAAATCCGCAGAGCACACTCTCGTAGACATGGTGCAGCTGCTCTTCACAAGGTAAACCTGCTGCTGTTTGCTTCAGCCCTGCTGCTCAGGCCTCTTGAGCCTGCCTGCTTCTACACAGTCACTTCAGGGACCTGGCCAGTCCTACAGCCACATCAGAGGCCAATGGGATTATGGATGGGGGTACTTCTCTGGGCCCAAGGTTACCAATCAAGGGAGAAGGAGGAGGGAACTGGCTTGGCCTCAGGAGGAGGCAGAGGGTTATTTGATCTAGGCTGACAGACCTCATTCTGCTTCCCAAACTTGTGTCTGTGTATGGGTAGCAGCTGGGAAAGAGAACCCAGAGAGGAAGCCAAAGTCAAGGGAGCCTAGAACAGGTTGCTGAGCTCCTAAAGCTCAGCCCCATTTCTGTGAGAACTAAGGCTAGCATGACCAATGGTCCTGGTTTTCCCAGTTTATCTCAATTTTAGCATTGAAAGTCCCACATGCCCACAAATCCCTCAGTCTTAGGCAAACCAAGACTATTGATTATCTTAGTCAAGGCCCTCAACTTAGGTCCTAGGAGGCCTTTTCATACTATGCCTCACTTTCTGTTTCCTGTACATCCTTTCAATAGAATAACTTTGAGAAGAGCTGAGGCAAGGGCTTTAAAACCTCCCCACCCTCCAGGGGATATTGATAATAGGGTAGGTTATGCATATGTGAAGACAGGGGTTTTACAGAAAGTCAACGTAACTTCTACTTGATTTTGCTGTGAACCTAAAATTGTTCTAAAAAATAATTTTTTAAGCCTCTTCCTAGGACTTCTTTTTGCTCTCAGATCTATAAATAACAATCCTTATTATCTGCAGACTAGATCTGCCCCTGGACTCTGTTTTAAAGAGTTTCTTACTCCTCTGGCTCCAATTCCCTGGTTTCAAAACTTCAACCTGCCTATTACATCTCATCCTATGCCCTCTCCCCATCTTGTGGTTTTCAGCAATACTTGGCAAGTGAAGCAAGAGGAGTCAGTTTGAGGATGAAAGAGGCTCCACACTTAGTTACTTTGCCCTGATGTCTACTTTCTTTTTTAGAAAGTGTCTATTAGCATACATCCCCCAAATTCTATGGCTCTTTGATGAATCTCTGAAAAGGGTGAAATAGCTTGCTTCCTTCCTAGCTATCCTAAGAGACAGGCATGCTCTGTCCCAGAGCACCTTTGGGCTGTGGCTGGCGTGGAGGGGGAAATTTGTTATTATGCCTAATGACAGTCCATGGGATTCTTTGTACTATAGGTTACCTCAATTTAAAGAAGAACCCAAGAACTATGTGGGCACCAACATGAAGAAGGTATGACCTGCTGTCCCTCATCCAACCCTTGATCTCCCTGGATGGGGATTTTCCTGAGATACCCTTGCTTAGCAAAAACATGCTTCTGCTTAAATAGATTTGTTTGGAAGCTAGCTATCACAACTTTAGTGAGCAATGTATTATTTCCCAGATACCTCTCTTTCCAATCTTTTCTTTCCAGCTTATCTTGTTGATCCTACTACATAAGCTGATGAGCCAGTCCTTACTAAAAAACTGGATGAAGCTCTTCGGGTTGGGCTAAAAATGTATGTTGGTAGAGGTGAAAGACCTACCATCCCCTTAGGGTCCAGGCTTATCAGCAAGTTAGAAGGTCTAGAGAGTCTATGCCCCAAATCTCACTCTAATGCTAAATTAGACTGGGCTCATGCTTGTCATGATGAGATAAATCAAGCCTGACTCCAGATCAGGAGGTTCTCAAACTGGTAGAAGAGAATGGTGGTCAGAAGAATGGCCTCTTTCTATCTTAAATGGAAGCCCTGGACTTCACAGGCCTCTCATGAAGATTCTGCTTGCAGCCCTAAGAGGTTCTGTCCATGGAGATGACCCTTGGCTGTTTGATGCATGCACCTGACCTTCCCCTCTCTCCTGCCATCTATCCCCATTCCTGCCCTGTGCCCTGTTGGCTTGTGTCTGAGTTTATTTCACTCTGTTTAAATCATTCGTTTGCCTGTCTTTCACAGATTTCTCCATGTCTCCTCAACAAACTGGAGCTAAATAGTGGGGAGCAGACCAAAGCCCTGAACCAGTTAGAGAGGGTACTACTCTTTAAGAACCTCAAGGTCTCTCTCCCTCTCCCTCTCCTTTTCCCCCTTTATATTTATTTATTTAAATGTTTGTTTTTTATACGTAATATGTGGTTCCCATTTCCATTGTTTAGAGCACAACCTACCCCTCCCTAGTAAAACAGCATGGCTTTGGAAGAGTTGCATGTGTTTGTAGCTTTGCAGTATTGATAATTTTCCTTGGGCATCAGTTGCCTAGAGGCAGAAGGAATCCTTGAACTGGTGATGTATCATATAGTGAGCCTAGACAGAGAGCTTGGATCCTGCTGACAATTGTGGGGATGTTTAATATCTACCATTTCCAGGGGAACTCTGAGAGACCTCCAAGTAAAACTCTTCCCTCTTCTACTCTTTCTGTCTCTCGGCTGGTATAGAGAACGTGAGCACAGTCCTTGACTCTTAGCTGGATACCTGAACTGGGTTTGGAAGGAAATGGTAGTTCATCTTATTGGGGCCTTTTATTCATTTCTTTTTTATTACCATTAAAGAGGCCTTTCCAAGGTTTAAGGCTAGATGGATGAAAAGAGCCAGGTGCAAGGATAGCCCAGGACACTGGGAGAACTTTGGGATCTGCAAAGATGCCCTCTATCCTTTAAAAGTCAAGATATATGGGAGCTTAGTGGAGAGACCCAAGCTAAAGATTACTCTAATACACATATCCCTCCCTTAAGAGGAAGAGTGGGGGGAAGGAGGTATGTGCTGTCTAAGCTATCTATCACAATAGTGTGCATACTAGCAATATGATTTTGGACATCCAGGCCACTGAAGATAAAAAGAAATGTGTGTGTGTGTGTGTGTGTGTGTGTGTGTGTGTGTGTGTGTACACCTAGCTGGAGAGTCCATAGGCCTATGTTCTTTTTGCACGCATTACCTCAAGTTCCATTTGTGTGCTTGCCTAATCTCAAGTTGCAGATCTCTTCATTTGCTACCTAGTATTTTGCCATGATTATTAATTTAGGACCTACCATTTCTTTGTAAAGCTTATACTGTCCTTTGGTAATATAGAGTTATATGAATATGATGGTGAGAGTCCCATGAACATTTACTGCCCACCCCCTACCTTAGCACCTTAGGACAGGGAGCATGACTGTACTTTTTAAGGGCTGAGACATTTGTGAGAATTGGCAGCCTCTTTGTCCCTACTCTAGCCAGGAGGCAGAGAACACTCACTGAAATGATCAGATTGGAGCTAGCTTTGCTGAGGATAGAGAAGGAAACAGGAAAGATCCTAGTGTGGGAAGGAATATTAATGAGTGATTGGCTTCTCTGTGGAAGTAGGACTACCTAGAGTTCCTAAAATAGGTAGAGGGAACTGCCTGGAGAGAAAGGATATCTTATAAAAGTAGATCCAGATGTTAGTATTTTTTAGAGCTCAGTGACAATTGCAAACAAAGCCAGGAGGTTCTTACTTTCCCTCATTGATCTCTTGTGCTTCTTACCTGTCTTTATGTTGGGGTGATTCTTACCTCCAGGACATTTTTCCTCCATGAACTTGACCCAAATGAGCCTCTATGGTTACTAGAGAGAGTATCGTACTTCCTGCTTAGCCACAGTGCTCAGAGTACTTGAAGCTCCATTCTAGGTATAGGACTACAGGCATTTTGGAGATGGATAGACAGGAAGAGACCATGCAAGGCTAATGCTGTGTTACTAAAAGCTAGGGGCAGAGCTCAGCTCCTAGATTTCTCTTATTTATGGATGAAGCTATGGCTAGGGAAGGAAGAATTACATAGTTTCTAAGTAAGGAATCAAAAGTTATCCAGGTTCTGGAGAACTTGGGAGAAGTTGAGGAAGAGAGCCTATTCCTAAATATCAGTAGGAATTGAACAGGCCAAGAATAATAAAGGTATATTCAGCTTTTAGAAAGAGGGAGGAAATGTACCTCTACTGTCTTTAGACTCATTCAGATGGTTCTCAGAAGAGAATTGCTGTTGCCCCATCCAGGAATGGTCCATTAGCCTAGGAATAGTTTGGTATAACTCTGTAGAGGAACTGGTTTCAAAACTGAGGAGGCATTAGGACTAGGAAAACAAAATGGGCCTAAACAAAGTCACCGAGAACTTAGGGTGGAGAAAATGCATAAAAACATATTCTAGAATAGTCAATAGATCATAGAGATTTTCTTTGTGACTAAAAGGAAGCTATGTGAAGAATAGAAATACAGCAAGAGAGAGAGAAAAATGGAATGGAGCAAGAGTCTAAGAAATCAGTAACCTTACCATCTGAAAATATAAAATTGCATTTAGAAAGATCCCACAGTGAGGACAGGAGATCTCATCCTATATAATAATCCTATATAATAAAAGGCTAATATGCAAATTAACTGAATAGTGGAACAACCAGTTGTTATGATGTGCAGTGGGGGGGGGGGGGGGGGCGTGCGCAGATATTTAACACAGGAGTTGCTCCCTGGTGGTCAGTGCAGAGGGAGTGCCGCTCAGCCAGAAGCCAGGCTCATGGCTGGCGAGTGCAGCTGCGATGGCAGAAGCCTCCCGGGGAGCGGGCCTAAACCATCAGTCAGATATCTCCCAAGGGCTCCCAGACTGTGAGAGAGCACAGGCCAGGCTGAGGACCAACCCCCTCCTCCTAGTGCACGAATTTCGTGCACCAGGCCTCTAGTTGATATATAAAAATTGGGATAGCAGAAAATCCTTAATTCCACAAACCAATTGAGCTGCTCCTCCTTCTTAACTCCAAGGAATGAGCCTTTGACCAGTTTGATGCAGAAATTCCAGACAGTGAGGGGTATGGCCCAGTTCATGAAGCAATAGAAAAGCTGGGAAGGAATAGGCTCTCATAATTGGATAAGAACTAGGAAAAGGCAACTTCTGCAGTTAGTTAAGGAGGAAAGCCCAAGAGTCTAGGACCTTTAGAACTAAAGCTCCAGGTAAAAGTGTCTCTCCCCTTACCCTTCCTGCAGGTGGTTTGAACACCATCTAGTTCTCAGGATTGCCACCCAGGACTCAGGGAAGCAAGTGATGTGTGAGAGCTGGGCCCCATCATAGACCAACCTAAAAACAGAATGTAATCTTCCACAAGGAGGTTGTCAGGGTCACTTGTAAAGTGCCCAGTGTAGAAGCCAGGTTAGAGGAGCAGGAATGTACTCTGATGGTCTAGATCAGTGGTCGGCACTCATTAGTCAACAGAGCCAAATATCAACAGTACAACGATTGAAATTTCTTTTAAGAGCTGAAGACACTTGCGCATGGGCCACAAAGTTTCAATCGCACTGTATGTGTGCGCCTGCACGTGGTATTTTGTGGAAGAGCCACACTCAAGGGGCCAAAGAGCCACATGTGCCTTGCGAGCCACAGTTTGCCAACCACTGGTCTAGATTCTTCCTTTGGCACAGATACAGGTTATAGGCTTTTTCTGTAGACAAGTAGAACCAAAAGAATGGAGATTTTAGGAATAAAGTTTTAGTTTGAATACCAGTGCTAATGAGGTGTGATATTTCCAGCTGAAAATGAGAGCAGGAGGCATGAGTGATTCATCCAAGTGGAAAAAACAGAAGAGATCCCCCCGGCCCCCACGCCATATGACCAAAGTTATACCAGGTTCAGAGCTACCCATCTCCAATGGAACCACCTTATCCTCTAATTTCACTGGTGAGTGCCCTGGGTTGCTGCTTCTGATTAAAATAGAGAGAGAGGGAGGAGGTAGGGGGTGGGGTGGAGAGAAAAACAAACTGGTATAGAGAACCAGGTGCCTCCCATACCCACCTGGACCTGGACCAGGGATCCAACCAAGGTATGTACCCTTGACTGGGAATTGAATCCATGACCCTTTGGTCTGTGGGCTGACACACTAATCACTGAGCAAAACCAGCAGGGCTCTCTCTCAGGGATTTTGACATTGAAGACCAGCCAACTGAAGGGCTTTGGTTTATTTCTGCTGAAAGCAAAAATGGGAAACTCCAGGCAAGAACAGTGACCAATTAGAAATTCTGCAGTGACTTAAGTTTGTTCTCCTTCCAGGGGAACTCTGACTACTGTAGAGACTAACGTATACAGAGATTAGTATGCAGTGTAGAAACAGTTCTGGTACCATAAAGGCTATATGTTTCCCACAAAGTCTCTCTTCTTTAAGCCTCACTTACTTTGCTTGGCAGGTGGCATGCCCTTCATTGATGTGCCCACTCCCATCTCCTCTGCAAGTTCAGAAGCTGCCTCGGCAGTGGTCAGCCCCTCTACAGACAGTGGCCTGGAGTTCTCCTCCCAGACCACTTCTAAGGAGGACCTTACTGACCTGGAGCAACCTGGCTCTTCAGGGTACAGCACAGCTACAGAGCCTGGCAGCAATGAACTAGGGGTTCCTGAGCAGCCTGACTCCCAGGTATGGCTTTCATTTCTAAAGGCCCCCCTCCAGTCTTCCACTGTGGACATTAGCTTGATCCTTTAGATCCTTTATCCAGGCCTTGGCTAAAAATATAGTTGGGGTAGGGTGGGTTCTTCCCCATTTCCTACAATTAGCTGTGCTGCATAGAAAACCTACGATATGACTCACGGTGAGAGTTAGTTCATGGGATTTATCAAGTTATGCATATAAATAGGAAGTACTTGGCAAAGGTGAGGGAGCTGCCTGGAGAGAATGATAATAATGATTATAAGTATGAAGATAATGATCTAAATCTCAAGCCTAAAAGAGCCTCTATTGCTTCTAGGGTTCGAAATATCACACCTCAGGACATGTTTTCTGAGTCTATCATATTCCTTCCATTGATTCATAGCCCACTGAGCTGGCCCTACACCTGCAATCCATTAGACACACTTGGAGGACAGGTATTTCAGGGAAGTAATTCCAAGTTGCTCTTGTCTCATCCCTCTTCTATATCCCCCTGCTACTGGTCATAGCAGGAAGGGGCCCATGTGGAAAAGCCTCAGTCAGCATCCGTGGAATCTATCCCTGAAGTGTTAGAAGAATGCACATCCCCTGTTGACCACTCTGATTCTGCCTCTGTACATGACATGGATTACGTCAATCCCCGAGGTGTGCGCTTTACACAGTCCTCCCAGAAAGAAGGTGAGTACACTTAGGTAGGCTCTGCCTGTTCACCTCCCCATCCAATCCACTAAGCTGCCTGAGCCTAGATTGTCTTGGACATGTAGCATCTGCTAGTTCAAGCTCTAGTCAGGAAATGGAATCAAGTCAGAGGGCTATTGGCATGGATGGAGCCCTTCCCTAACTTGGTGGACAATAAGAAATGAGAGGGAAGAATAGAAAGCTTGAGGCTTTTTTTTTTAATATGTTTATTGATTTTAGAGAGAAAGGGAGAGGGAGAGAGAGATAGAGACATGATTGATGAAAGAGAATCATTGATTGGTTGCCTCCTGCATGCCCCCCTACTGGAGATCAAGTCCACAACCCCAGCATGTGTCCTTGATGGGAATTGAACCCGGGACCCTTCAATTCGCAGGCCAGTGCTCTATCAAGTGAGCTAAACTGGGACTTTCAATAGAAAAGTAGGATCATCAGTTCTGACTCCCTTCAGTAAATAAATAGGCTCCTTACTTCCACAGAAGAAAACAGTTGTTTTGTTTTCTTCTTGAAGAGCGTCACTAATCTGAAATTACCTTATAAAATGCAGGGCAAGCTAGGCCAAGCTATTAAGCCAGTTGTTTCTTGGGAGTCCCACTTCCCTCTTGGCCTTCTCCCAGGTACAGCTTTGGTCCCCTATGGTCTTCCCTGCATCCGAGAGCTCTTCCGCTTCCTCATCTCACTCACCAATCCACATGACCGACACAACTCAGAGGTTATGATCCACATGGGACTACATTTGCTGACAGTGGCTCTTGAGTCAGCCCCTATAGCCCAGTGCCAAACCCTCTTGGGCCTCATTAAGGATGAGATGTGCCGCAACTTATTCCAGGTAAGACTGGATTTCTTGAGGGGCTCAGAGCTCCTGGTTGTTTTTCAAGGTATCTCATGTTTTTCAAGGTATCTGTAGGGAAGCACAGGGAGGTTTGACTGATTCATGATAGGACCCACAAAAGAACCTCCCACTCCATTCGGCCAGTAATCATGGTCAAGATGACTGTTAATTTCTGGGGACTCTGGAAGCCAAAGGGAAATAGAGTAATGGTAGATATAGAATCCCCTCAGAGCACAACCTTATTGAAAACTTCACTGTTTTCTCTGCTGCTTTTCTCTTGGTTGGACCATAGTCAGGTTCAGAAACTAATGCCTACCCTACTCTGACCTACAGCTACTCAGCATAGAGCGAATGAACCTTTATGCTGCTTCTCTGCGGGTATGCTTCCTACTGTTTGAGAGCATGAGGGAGCACCTCAAGTTCCAATTGGAGGTGAGTTTCTCAACCTTGAAAGACGAAAAGTAGTAAGATGCATGTATGGCATCATCAGTGCAGCTAACTTTGTCATGGGTGAAATTTTGGGGCTTCTGTAGGAGAATGCTTCTAGCCTGTCTAGTTTGGTTTATTGGCTGGCCTCTTTAGTAGAGAAATCAAAAAGAACCTAGAGAAAATTGGCTGGCTAATAAATGGAAGAACCCAAATATGAACACTAGTAGGTAACCTCGCCATGAGTTGATATACCCTTCTGCCTAGCAGCTCCTCTGCAACACAGTCAGGTAAGTCACGCTGACTTAGCCACTAAATTGCAAAAAGGAACTCTAAATAGGACCATGTCAGGCTCACATAGCATTAAAATGGCAACAGGTAACTTGATTTGGATCAGGCATGAGATAGAGAACCAGGCCTTATCCACCCAACAGAAGGCCAAAGAGGGGATGTATTTAGGAATGAAATATTTATAAGTATCTATTTTTAGGGGTCTTTTTATTTAATTTATTAGGGTAATACTGGTTGACAAAATTATATAGGTTTCAGGTGTACAATTGACAACACATCATCTGTACACTGTATTGTGTGTTTACTATATAAGTGGCTCTTAATGCATGCCTTTTGACAATTTTGTTCAATTTTTTTTCTTCCTATTTTGAATTCTTTCCCCACCCAAATGGCAATTAATGGTTTATTGCCAGATGTACATCAAAAAGCTCATGGAGATCATTACTATGGAGAACCCCAAGATGCCTTATGAGATGAAGGAGATGGCACTGGAAGCCATTGTGCAGCTCTGGCACATCCCCAGCTTTGTCACTGAGCTCTATATCAACTATGATTGTGACTACTATTGTTCCAACCTCTTTGAAGACCTCACCAAGCTGCTGTCCAAGGTGCTGAGCATTATCGCTGGCTGCTAGGAAGAAGGCTATATTAAGGAAATCTCTTTGGTGGTAGTAAGAAAGTACATACAGGGAGGGAAACATTTGAGAATTGGGGAACAGGAAGAAGAAATGCATTTCAATATAGAAGTTATAGGAAGTTGGGGATTTTGGAAAAGAATCAGTTAAAGTTTAAAGTATTCTAAGCTCAAGTCTACTGGATCTATTTACTTTCCAGAATGCCTTTCCTGTGTCTGGTCAGCTTTATACAACACATCTACTGTCTCTTGATGCCCTGTTGACAGTGATTGACAGCACTGAAGCCCACTGCCAGGCTAAAGTCCTCAACAGCCTTACCCAGCAAGAGAAGAAAGAAGTTGCCAGACCCAGCTATGAGGCAGTAGACGGCACCCGAGAAGTTAGCAATAGTAAGAGGCATTTCTTACTTTGAGGATCTCAGGGTTCTATGCTTATCTCTTCTCCACTCTAAATTTTTTTCCTGCTCTTATATCACTTCCTCTGGGGTACTCCCACTTATTTGTTTTTGAGGTTTGGTGGTTTGAATCACAGGCCACAAAGCAGATTAACATACTTTACCCTTTCTTCTCCTCCACACTTTGGCTTTTTTAAAGAATTATTTATGGAGAGAAAAGAAAATATAGATGAAAGGATATGGACTTCTGTCCCTAAAAGTTCCAGGTCCTCCCTTCCCTCACCCCCAGTATCTCCTTCCACTCTAATGAATCTTCTCAAACTTCCCCTTGAGATTAAGGTTGCAGAAGATCAAGGAAAGTGACTGGGTAATTTCTTTATTAAATTCTATAATCTAATGCGTGGCTGACCTGGGACAGTGACTGTTTGTTTGAGCTTGGGTTTGTTCTGTTCAAGACTGGCAACCTATGAGGGAGAATGCAGGTCTCCTTAGCCAGGGACTCAACTTTTCTTGCAGCTTTACTTACTCCATAAGTTCACTTATCTTCTTCTCTCTTACCAGCTGAGAGAGCAGCCAGCGATGGGAAAGCTGTAGGCCTGGCCCCAGACATCCTAGACCTGCATCTTCCAGGTGGAGGGCGGCTGCCAGCAGAACATGGGAAGCCAGGATGCAATGATCTGGAGGAAGCTGGTGATTCTGGGGGTGGGTACTGGGTATCTGTAATCCTAAGCCCCATTTACTGGGGGGCCTGGTGGAGAGCAGAGGTGGGGGAACAGAGACACCCTAGGTTAGTACTTGAGTGAACCTTAACTGCTCACTATGCCTTCAAACCCAGAGAGAGGAAAGAAGACATATGTAATCCTAGAAGATAGAACTTCTAAGGAAGTGGAAAATGGATGAGGACAAGAAAATGTCTGAAGCATTCTTTTTTACTGTAGAATATATCAGCAATTTCCAAAAGTCACTTCCTGGTAAAAGAGGTCTTAATGGGTTTTTCTCTCTCTTCCTCCCATTCCTAGCTGACAAAACGTTTATCCGGAAGCCGCCTCGATTTTCCTGTCTCCTGCCAGATCCACGGGAACTGATTGAAATTAAAAACAAAAAGAAGGTACATACAGATGTATCCAGAGCCCAGCCTCTACCCACTTCTGTCTGAGTGTTCTTTGTAGGATTTCTATCCCAGAGGATGAGGGACAGTCTAGCAGCTCATTGTACAACTTCCCCAGTTTCCTTTGAAGTCCTTCCCTTACTCCAAAGCCATGTGGTTAGTTATGCCTACCCTGGACAATTGCTGTTCTGAGAGCCAAGTGTTCCTGGTGGTCACAAGAGCCCTGATAGCTGATATCATGTGGGTCCCTGAAGATTATTGGTCTGGTCATCTGAGCTCTGGGATGATGATTGGCAATAAAGGGAAGTTGAAATTAATCCTGGTGCTTTAGTAAAGTTCATATAACTGTGTTGTTTTGGTTTTCTTAAAACAAAGAAAACCTTCTGTTTAACCCTTTCTTCCTCTTATTGGTAGCCTAAATGACTTTGATTTATGTGTGCCCTAGATTGCAAAAAGTCTAAAGATTAGGTTATCAGAGTTAATTGAAACCCCAGGGCTAGAAAATCAAAGACAGGGGAACCAAGCGAGTCCATAAACAAGATGCTGCCCATAAACAGATTCCAGGGATGGCTGTAAAACTAGAGTATAGAGAAGAAACCTTTCTCTAGTCCCTTCTTCTTTTTTCATAGATGGAGAGGCTGTGGGCTGTCCTATGTAGCACTCAAGAAAGGAATGAAAAGGAGCTCTTCAGCCAATTCTAATAAGACATGAAGACTGAGGAAAGCTAGGGCAAGAATGATCCAGCCTTAGTCCTAGAGCCACTTAGAACCACCTTTTAGGAGACTGTTAGGTGACAAGCTGTGGACTATGATGAATTCTAGCCTGACCTTATCCAGTTAGGGGAAGAGCAGTTTCTAATACCTCTAGTGTTTTTTTCTCCAGCTTCTGATCACTGGCACAGAGCAGTTCAACCAGAAACCAAAGAAGGGAATCCAGTTTCTACAAGAGAAAGGCCTCCTCACCATCCCAATGGACAATTCAGAGGTAGCCCAATGGCTTCGAGAAAACCCTCGGTTGGACAAGAAAATGATTGGAGAGTTTGTGAGTGACCGCAAAAACATTGACCTCTTGGAGAGCTTTGTGAGGTGAGGAAGCTGCAAGAAATATGGGACATAGTTGGTGATCATTGGAGAGAGCATCCTTCCCTCAAAGCAGTCTCAGTCAGTTTCTGCTAGTGACCCAGGTCACACACTCTTCTCATTCTATCACTTTTATCTGTTAGATCTAAAAGAGCAAGATAGCTTTGCAAGCCGGGATGGAGCAGGGTCCCTGAAAACAGCATAGGTTCTGGGTTCCAGGGGATGAGATTTCTAAGAAAGGCAAGAGTGCACTGATGTGAAAAATACTAAGCTTAGGAGTTGTAAATGCTGGTCTATGTTAGAAATGGCCAGGAGATGCCTTCTCTTTGCTAGCACCCTCAGCCTGTTCTTTTCTAGTAGATTAGAACTGTAGCTAATAGAGAACCTAATATTTATAGATTGTACATCTTCAGCATCTTCATCCTTCTTCCTCTCCCTATAGCACCTTCAGCTTTCAGGGTCTTAGACTGGATGAAGCTCTTCGCCTCTACCTGGAAGCCTTCCGCCTGCCTGGGGAAGCACCAGTCATCCAGAGGTTGCTGGAGGCATTCACAGAGCATTGGAGGGTGAGTTTGAGTGGCAGGGGCTAAGCCTAACCTCCCAAGTTAATTTGACTGAAGGTGTTTATGGCTCCAACTGAGGGACACAGCTGCTTCTTTCCTAAGAAGGCTGAGAGCATCATCAGTGAGCTTTAAGAAGTTGGCAAGAGATTGGCCACTTTCTGGGTGGTACCTCCCCTCTGTGTCAGCATTGATCCAGTTGGTTGGTACTGAGGGTTTAATGGGCTGGAGAAGGGCATTCACACAGGTGGGGTCTTTGCTTTTTCAGAATTGTAATGGCTCCCCATTTGCCAATAGTGATGCCTGCTTTGCCCTGGCCTATGCTGTCATCATGCTTAATACTGACCAGCACAACCACAATGTTCGTAAACAGAATGCACCCATGACCCTGGAGGTAAGCTTGAATCCCAGCCAAGGCAGAGAAGATCCAGCAAGCTTTGGAGAAAGCGGGATGTCCAGTGGGCACAGCAGACAGGGTTCTGGAAATCTGGAGGCTGGCCAATCCAGAAGAGGAACTGGGGTGGGGAAGTGGGTTCTTTCACTTATTGCTTCCTAAGTCCTATTTATCACAGACCCAGGGGTTCCTTGTGTGGGGCTTCAGCATTGACATTAGGGGCAAAGCTTCTTGGTTTGTCTCTAGGAGTTTCGCAAAAACCTAAAAGGTGTGAATGGAGGGAAGGACTTTGAACAAGACATCCTGGAAGATATGTACCATGCCATCAAGTGAGTATGTATGGATGATGATGTAGCATCTCTGTTAAGTAGAAGAACACTGCTCCCTTTTCCAGATTTTAGAGTCACATCAGGCTGCAATGACTCATATGCTCTGAATTTAGCCTTAGGATTTCAGTACCTATACTCTCTCCAAACTCTTTTCTTCCTTAAAGAAACCTGAATAATATTGGGACTAGTACTTTAAGCCAGGTTCCAAACTGTCCCTGCTAAGTAGAGTGTCATGATCCCATTTCCCAAACCCAGAGCAGCTGACTTTTCCTGTCTAGTTCCCCCAAGTTGCATTCTGAGCTGTTAGAGACCCAAGAAATACAAAGGGCCTGTAGAAAGAAATTATTGTTAATCAGAGGTCAAAGATGGGACACTTAGTTCTTTATTACAACTCAGAAAAGGGGGGATCATTTATCTTACTATAGAACCAAAGGCCTCACTTAGAGGCAGGTCCTTGAGAATTATGGCACATCTTTCTTTCTTTCTCCCTAGTGACTGGGAAGCCAACCACTGAACTTCAGTTTTGATGGCCTCTCATTTGTGAAGAGTGCCATAGTTAAAGTCCCTTATTCTAGCTTGGGAGCAGTCAGGTTTATAGCAGTGCACTTACTTCTCTTACTTCCTGATAGGAATGAAGAAATTGTGATGCCTGAGGAGCAGACAGGCTTGGTTCGGGAGAACTATGTATGGAATGTACTGCTTCATCGAGGTGCCACCCCAGAGGGCATATTCCTACGTGTGCCTGCTGGTAGCTACGATCTTGACCTCTTCACCATGACGTGGGGCCCCACTATTGCTGCTCTCTCTTATGTCTTTGACAAAAGCCTCGAGGAGACAATCATCCAGAAAGCCATCTCAGGCTTCAGGTAGCTCATTTTGGCCTTAATACTGACCTCTTAACTACCTCTCTGAGCTAACATAGTTGCCTCCAAACCTCTTTGAATCCTACTCTTATTTTCTTTAGAGTTGATTCGTCCTGAGTTTTTGGAGGGAGGCTGAAGCTTGGGAAAGCGCTATCTCTCTCTCACTCTCTCTCACTCTCTCTCCCTCTCTCTTTCTCTCTCTCTCTCTCTCTCTCTCTCTCTCTCTATATATATATATATATATATATATATATATATATATATATACTCTTTATTGTTGAAAGTATTACATATGTCTCCTCTCCCCACCCCCACCCCCAATGACTTCTAGCCAATCTCCACCCCCTACCCAGACCTTCACTACCCTATTGTCTTTGTCCATGGGTTATGCATATATTCATACAAGTTCTTAGGTTGATATCGGGAAAACTCACTCTTAGACTTAAGAGTAAAAGGTTTCTTCCTGGGGCTGACTGGGGAAGAATCCCAAGCAATCCTTCTCAGGGACTTGGAAGGACTGCCTGGCCTTCCAGTGACTCTGTTTCTGGGATGGGGGTGACATTACAGGAAGTGTGCCATGATCTCCGCCCACTATGGCCTCAGCGATGTGTTTGACAATCTCATCATCTCTTTGTGCAAATTCACAGCTCTTAGTAGTGAGGTGAGTGTTGAGCGGGAGAAGTCGGGGGAGGATATGTACCTAGAGTTCCAAAGGAGAACCTCTTTTAGCCATGGATTACTTTTATCTTCAGAGATGATTCCCTCAGCGTATTTCCTCACCTCCCACTTGATTCCAATAGGGCTTAAACTATTTCTGTCTGTACACCTAGAATGAGAATAGCATTATTCATGTAATTGGGGATAGGAGAGGATATGCAATAGTAGGGAAGGCCTTATCCAGGTTAGCCTTCCTATTAGTATTGTTGGGGATTGAAGCAGAGCCAGCAGAAGAAGCCTCAAGGCACCATAGGTTGAGGCCTAAGAGGTTCTCTTTTTCAAACATTTACCAGGCCCTAAGCTTCTTCCCATCTTGTTTTCCAGTCTATTGAGAACCTGCCCAGTGTGTTTGGAAGCAACCCTAAAGCCCACATTGCAGCCAAGACAGTATTTCATTTGGCCCATCGTCATGGCGACATCCTTCGAGAGGGCTGGAAAAATATCATGGAGGCCATGCTACAGCTCTTCCGAGCCCAACTGCTGCCCAAGGCTATGGTGGAGGTAATTCTTGATAGGAGACTAATCGGTAGTAACAAGGCAAGCTCTAGCTGGTTTGGCTCAGTGGATAGAGCATCGGCCTGCAGACTGAAGGGTCCCAGGTTCAATTCCAATTCAAGGGCACATGCTTGGGTTGTGGGCTCGATCCCCAGTAGGTGACGTGCAAGAGGCAGCCAATCAATGATTCTCTCTCTTCATTGATGTTTCTGTCTCTCTCTACCTCTCCCTTCCTCTCTGGAAAAAAAAAAAATAGTAACAAGGCAGGAGCTCCAAGATTATATGCTACTAGTATATAGAACTGGTTGAGAGTATCACTGGGCCTGCTGCCTGCTGAAGCTTACCAGGAATACCTCAAATGTAAGACCGCAGATCTTGAGTGTGGGCATAGCTATCAAGAAAGACTGGTAGAAGTCTTTGGCAGTCACCATATAGAGGGGGCCCGATCCATAGGAGAGCAGAGAGCTACAAGAAGAAAGCAAGAGAACTGCATGGGGGAGCAGGAAATGCAAAGGGTATGTAGAAAGAAATTATTTTTGGTCTGCTTTTCCAGGTAGAAGATTTTGTGGATCCCAATGGCAAGATCTCTCTACTACGGGAGGAGACACCATCGAACCGGTGAGGGCTGATCAGAGGCTAAAGGCCTTGGGGAGAGAGGGTCAGGACTCTGGAGTTCACCAGGGTTTATACTGTTTCTACAGAGGAGAGTCGACAGTGCTGAGCTTTGTGAGCTGGCTGACACTAAGTGGTACTGAGCAGTCTAGTGTGCGGGGCCCATCCACTGAGAACCAGGAGGCTAAGAGAGTGGCCTTAGAGTGTATCAAGGTAACTGCCTGCTTACCCCTGGATCCTTCCCCACTGGACTGTGAACTGAAGAGTAGAATAATTGAGAGCTTGTGGCCAGAAATGACTCCTGCTCTCTTTCTGGCTCTTAAGAAAGTTCTCTTCCCTCTACCCCTTGTCATTGACACCGTTCTTTTCCTCTTGTGCCCCCTATAGCAATGTGACCCAGAAAAGATGATCACAGAAAGCAAGTTTCTCCAGCTGGAGTCACTGCAGGAGCTCATGAAGGTACAGAATGAAGAGGAAAGAAAAGAAAGGGCTGGCTGAATCTGGGAGGGGAGACAGGGACAGTGGTGTAAAGTCAATTTCTGTCAGGGCAGCGCCAGTGACTGCCTACTTTTCTACTGTTGTTCTCTAGGCTCTTGTCTCAGTGACACCAGATGAAGAGACGTATGATGAGGAGGATGCTGCTTTCTGCCTGGAGATGCTGTTGAGGATTGTGCTAGAGAACAGGTAGAAGGCTGTCATTAGGCAGGCCTGACATTGAGCCTGGAGCCATCTTGCTGAGTGGGCTCTAAGACAAAAAGCACATGAAGCTATAGGCAGTGGAGGAGAAGCTTGCTCATTATGAAGCTTGCTCGTTATTCTTGTCTGCTCAGGGTATAATACCAATGAGCCCTGAAAGGCCTAGCCTGAGTCAGAAAGGGAGGCTTATTGCCCAGTGACCTCTCTAGCTGAGACTATCGCCATCTCTTATGTTCCTAAGGGACCGAGTGGGCTGTGTGTGGCAGACTGTTCGAGACCATCTATATCACCTATGTGTCCAGGCACAGGATTTCTGCTTTCTTGTGGATCGGGCAGTGGTGGGGCTGCTGCGCCTGGCCATTCGGCTACTCCGGAGAGAAGAGATAAGTGGCCAGGTAAGCAGAGTACAGCTGGGAAGGCAAGAAGATAAAGTCACAATGTTAGTTGTGGGTATGGCCTGAGACAGAATACATTTAGTGCCCTGTAGAATGAGCCCAGTGACCAACTATGGGGCTGGGGGAATCTAACAGGTGGCAGTGGGAATGAGTCTAGAACATCCTCAGATATGAAGCTGATATTCAGCACCTCTGCTGACTCCTGTAAATCAGCTCTGAGGGGCAGATGGCTGCTGCTTTGTAGCAGCCCCAGCCCTATATCTGGTTTCCTCTAATGCTTTGGACCTTCCTGAGATCTCTTGGCCCAACTATTAAAGATAGCCAGCATAGAACTAATAAGTGAATTTAGCAAGGTCCCAGGATATAAAATGAACACCCCAAATTAATCACATTTCTATGTACAGTACTGACAATGAACATGTAGAACTTAAAAAAACAACACAATACCATTTACAAGTGCTCCTCGCAAAAAGAAATACTTAAATATACATCTAATAAAACAGGATCTGTATGCTGAAAATTACAAAATGTTAATGAAAGAAATTTAAGAAGACCTAAATAAATGAAGGAGCATATCATGTTCATTGATCTATAAGTTTAATGCAACTCCTATGAAATGCAGGAGACATTTTGTAGACATATCAAGCTTATTCTAAAATTTAGCGCTACCTGGTTTGGCTCAGTGGATAAAGCATCAGCTTGGGTACTGAAGGGTCCCGGGTTTGATTATAGTCAAGGGCACATGCCCAGGTTGTGGGCTCGATCCCCAGTTGGAGGCGTGGAGGAGGCAGCTAATCAGTGATTCTCATCATTGATGTTTCTATCTCTCCCTCTCTCTCCCTCTCTGAAATCAATAAATATATATTTAAATAAATAAATAAATAAAATTTAAATGGAAAAGCACAGGCCTTAGAGTAGCCAAATCTCTTGAGAAAAAAGAAGTAATATTAAGGCTTACTATATTGCCATAGTAATCAAAACTGTGTGGTATTGGTAGAGGGATAGACACCCCTCTACCAATGGAGCAGAAGAACCCAGACATAGACCTACACAAAAATGCTCAACTAATTTTTTAGAAAAGGTACAAACCCAATTTTTAAAAAAAAATGGGGGAAGAATAACTTTTTCAATTGCTAAAGCAATTGTGGAGAAGCTTCATATCTTATACAAAAATTAATTCAAAATAGATGAAAGATTTAAATGTAAAATATAAAACTATAAAACTTTTAGGGAGAAACATAAGTGGATTTCTTCAGGAGCTAGGCAAAGAGTTCTTAGACTTGACACCAAAAGAAAAACTGATAAATTAGATTCACCAATACTAAAAAGTTCTCTATTATAGGCCAGTGAAAAGAATGAAAAAACAAGGAACATATGTTTGCAAATCACATATTAAAGTTTTGATGAGATATCATTATACACATCAGAATGGCTAAAATAAAAATATCAAGTGCTGGCAATGATGTGGGTCACTCATACATTGCTGGTGGGAATGTGAAATGGTATAGCTACTCTGTTGTCACGTTCTTCTAAAATTAAATATCCAATTACCACACAATCCAGCAGTTGCGTTCCTGGGCATTTATCCCCCAAAAGGGAAAATTGACTTTCTCATAAAAATCTGTAGATGAACATTCATATAAGTTTTCATTGTAATAGCCAAAAATTGGAATCAGCTTAGATGATTTTCAACAGGTAAATAAACTGTAGTTCATACATACCATGGAGTACTTACTATTAAGCATTTAAAAGCAACAAGCTATTGATACATGCAACAACTTGGAATTATGCTGAGTGAAAAATGCCAATCCCATAAAGTTATAAACTATATAATTCCTTTTATATAAAATTTTTAAAAGCATATATTTATTTTTTAAGTTCCTCTGGGGTTTTTATGGTTATTTGTTTTGTTTTTTTAGATAGAGGAAGGGAAAGGAGATAGATAAAAACATCAATGAGGAGAATCATTGATCAGCTGCCTCCTGCATGTCCCCTACTGGGGATACAGCCCATAACCTGGGTATGTGCCCTGACCAGGAATCAAACCATGACCTCCTGGTTCATGGGTCAACATTGAACCACTGAGCCACACCAGCCGGGCCATTTATATAAATTTTGTGGACAGATTGCCAGGGGTTAGGGATGGGCACAGGAAAGAGGCAGATGTGATTATAAGGGGAAACATAAGGATCCTGTGGTATTAGAACTGTTCAGCATCTTTACTAGTGGTGGATACAGACCTACACAAGTGACTAAATAGTGTAGAATTTTTTTTTATTTTTTTATTGATTTTTTACAGAGAGGAAGGGAGAGGGATAGAGAGCTAGAAACATCGATGAGGGAGAATCATCGTCCAGCTGCCTCCTGCACACCCCCCACCGGGGATGTGCCCGCAACCAATGTACATGCCCTTGACCGGAATCGAACCTGGGACCTTTCAGTCCGCAGGCCAACGCTCTATCCACTGAGTCAAACCGGTCTTGGCTAAATTGTGTAGAATTTAATACACACAACTTGAGTAGAAGTAAGACAGAGGAAATCTGAATAAATCAGTGGATTATATCAATGTCAGTGTCCTGGTTATGATTATACCATAGTTTTGCATAAAATTGCCTTTGGGGTAAACAGGGCAAAGTGTGTAAGGGATCTCTTTGGGTTCTTTCTTACCGTATAATACATACAACCTATAATTATCTCAGTATCTTAATATAAAAAGAAAAGACCAGCTGCTGTATCCTAAGTTGGGTCCTAGTCAAACTGTCCTTACTGGCCTAAGAAGACTGGTGGGACAGGAGAGTAGGCAAGAAGTTGTGTTCACTTCCCACTTCGCACCCCAACCCAGGTATTGCTGTCCCTGCGCATCTTGCTACTAATGAAGCCCAGCGTGCTGTCCCGAGTCAGTCACCAGGTAGCCTTTGGGCTCCATGAACTCCTTAAGACCAACGCAGCCAACATTCACTCAGGTGACGACTGGGCCACCCTCTTCACGTTGCTGGAGTGCATTGGCTCAGGCGTGAAGCCTCCAGCTGCCCTGCAGGCCACCACCAGGGCCGATGCACCTGATGCTGGTAAGCCCATTCCCAGAGAGACCCACGCTGGCAGATAAACCATTTTGGCCCCAGAAGTTGATACAGGAAAAACAAACAAACAAAAAAAAAAAAACAGGTTATTACGTTCAGCAGATTAAATACCCGTGGCTTCTGCCATCTGCTCCCAGAATTTCATGTAACAGCTGGCCTCTCCCAGCACACCCTCAAGTTAAACAGCATGAAGGCAAGTAGGCAGCAGAGAAGGCTCTGAAGCCAGGCTTACTACTTTCTTGAGGCTTGGTTTATCAAAAATTGTGAGAAACTGCCACCTCCTTCCCTGACAGCTGCTAGATGCCATCAGCAACCCAAATTAGCCTGCTGCCCTATTTGGTCAAGAGAGAAGGTATCTAGACCATCCTTTAGCCCTGTGATAGCAGGACTGAAACTAAGCCAGACCAAGAAAGAGAAGCCAGGCTTCAGCGCCTTTCTTCTGGGAGCTGAAACTATTCCCTCAACCCACTGTCCCCTTCCTCACTTTAACTCTGCCTTTCTCCCTGCCGGCTCAGGGGCCCAATCAGACAGTGAACTCCCATCCTACCATCAAAATGATACGAGTCTGGACCGAGGATACACTTCTGACTCTGAGGTCTATGCTGACCATGGCAGGCCTGGCAAGATCCACCGATCAGCCACAGATGTTGACGTGGTCAACAGTGGTTGGTTAGTGGTAAGTGATGGACAGCGGATGAGACTTCCCTCCTTGGCCTGTGGGAAAGATTCCTAGTCCTCTGAGAGGGCATCCTGGGGAAGATCTGGTTCAAGCCTGGGTTCCAAGCTCTGTACTTTACAGGTGGGGAAGGATGACATCGATAACTCCAAGCCAGGGCTTGGGACTGCGTCCAGCCGGCCAGGCCCTTCACCCCTGGTCAATCAGTACAGTCTAACAGTGGGGTTGGACCTCGGACCTCATGACACTAAGTCTCTGCTCAAGTGTGTGGAATCACTGTCTTTCATCGTGCGTGACGCTGCCCACATCACTCCCGACAATTTTGAGCTCTGTGTCAAGACTCTCCGCATCTTTGTTGAAGCCAGTCTTAACGGTGGTGAGTCAACTGACGGGCAATTGGGGAGTTGCCATGTGAATATACGGGGGATAGAGATATTTGTGTTAATGGATATGGAAATATGACCTGGATCTGACTCTGCTCAGGGTGCAAGTCCCAAGAAAAACGTGGCAAGAGTCACAAATATGACAGCAAAGGGAACCGCTTCAAGAAGAAATCCAAGGAGGGCTCAGTGCTTCGACGGCCTCGAACCTCTAGCCAACATGCCACTCGGGGAGGGCACAGTGATGACGATGAGGATGAAGGCGTGCCTGTCAGCTACCATACGGTGTCTTTACAGGTCAGTCAGGACGTAAGTATGGCACCCTTTACTTCCTCTTCTCTCCCTGCACCTGACTTTGGGAGTGTGGATGGGGCCAGGGACAGCGAGGCTGAGAGGAAGGGCCGAGGTCCTCAGCCACCACCTCTAGTTTCCCACCTGTAAGTCTTTGTTTGTTTAATATTTAAACTAAGGTTTATTTTTTGAATAAGTAATTCATGCACATGGTACAAAGTTCAAATGGTACAAAAGGATAAACAGATAAAAGTAAGCCCCATTCCATTTCTGTCCCTAAGTTCTCCCTAGCCAATAAGTTCTCACTAGAGGCAACTACTGCCACCAGTTTCTTATCTATCCTTCCAGAGTTATTCTGTCTATTCAAGGCATATAAAATTTCTTTTATGATCAGAATTTATATCACTAACTAACTGGATAACTAATTGCCTTTAATAGAATAGCCTTAGAAAAATGATGACAACAAATTATTAAATCTAGCCAGATACTATTACCCATCAAAGCCTCCGAGCCTGAGGTATGCTTTCTGTTTTTTAAATAACGTGATAAGGTTTCTTATATTATCAGGTGTGAAAAAGAATTGAAAAGAAAGTGTATTTCTCACTGTGTAACTCAGTATTATTAAATACTTAGTCCCCCTTCCTCCTCAAGTCTCCTCTACTAGGACTAATACTCAGCTTTGGGAAACACTTGCCAGGACGGGGCAACTAGCTCATAAAGTCGAGAAGGGAGCAGTGAGAGGGTTGAAGTATATGGTGTGACTGGTACTAGGGGCTCCCTTGAGGACTCAGTCAGGGACAGTAGGGGTGGGGGACTGACCAGACCTAACCCCACTCACGTTTTGCCCCTCCTGTGATCCCAGTTGCTAGACCTGATGCACACCCTGCACACTCGGGCGGCCTCTATCTACAGCTCATGGGCAGAGGAGCAGCGCCACCTGGAGACAAGTGGCCAGAAGATCGAAGCGGATTCACGCACCCTGTGGGCCCACTGCTGGTGCCCCTTACTGCAGGGTAAGCTTTGGGGGAGCAGGCGGGCAGGGGTAGAGGTGGAGCTGGAGCTGGGAAGTACCAGGATCAGGATGCCTGAGGGTCCTGAGACTGTTCTTGCTCTCAGGCATTGCCTGCCTATGCTGTGATGCCCGGCGCCAGGTGCGGATGCAGGCACTGACCTATCTGCAACGAGCACTACTGGTTCATGATCTGCAAAAGCTGGATGCCCTGGAATGGGAGTCCTGCTTTAACAAGGTAGGACTTCCCTCTAGTCTTTTTTTTTTTTTTTTACGTTTTTACTGATTTTTAGAGAGAGGGGGAGGGAGAGGGATAAAAAGATAGAAATATTGATCAGCTGCCTCCTATACACACTCTCCTGGGGATCAAGCCCATATCCTGGGCATGTGCTCTAATTGGGAATCAAACAGGCAACCTCTTGGTCCCTGGATTGATGCTCAGCCACTGAGCCACACCAGCCGGGCAGACTTCCCTCTAGTCTTAAGGTAAAGTTCAAATCTTTAAGATAAGGAGAACAAGGCAGCCTGAAGAGCCCCTGATGTCAATCCTCAGTCTGCATCAGACCTTCCCCTTCCACTCAGTACTCATCCATCCCAGCCTATGGCTTCCTTTGGGCAAGGCTGCCCACTGCCCTTGCTAGGAGATGTTGGCTGTTTATCTACCAGGTGCTGTTTCCTCTACTGACCAAGCTCTTGGAGAACATCAGCCCTGCAGATGTGGGTGGGATGGAGGAGACCCGGATGAGGGCTTCCACCCTGCTCTCTAAGGTATTGTTCACCATCCTTCTCTCCTGCCTCTTCACAAGGAGGGAAGCTAAGGCTTCTGATAGGACCTAGAGATGCAGTGTAGGTGCTCAGGACCCAAGCTATGGATACTCAGTGGGACTTGGGGACCTGGGACATTTCTGGAATTCAGAGCATTTCTAATCTAAGATTCCCATGCAAGATAGGACAGGCTTGCCTTCCAGCCTTGGAGAAGGGTATAGAAGCCCCTACCCTACCCTCGGCTGAAAGTGGCTGGCGGGCCATAGGTCTTCCTGCAGCACCTGTCTCCACTGCTGTCACTCTCTACCTTTGCGGCCCTCTGGCTGACCATCTTGGACTTCATGGACAAGTACATGCATGCAGGCTCCAGTGACTTATTGGTATGTTCTACCTCAGCCTGACTCCAGCCTGACTCTACTGGGAAGATTTACTGTTTACTCCCTTGGTGGCTACCTCCTTACCATATTCTCCCATGCCCTCTTTTCTGTTCTCATGGTCCACTGCCACCTGTAGTCAGAGGCCATCCCTGAGTCTCTAAAGAACATGCTTCTGGTGATGGACACAGCGGAGATTTTCCACAGCGCAGATGCCCGAGGAGGCAGCCCCTCAGTCCTCTGGGAGATTACCTGGGAGCGCATTGACTGTTTTCTGCCCCACCTACGAGATGAACTCTTCAAGCAGACTGTCATCCAGGGTAGGGAGCTCAGCCCAGCTTCATCATAAAGAGTCTGGAGCTCAGCATTTCTCGGTGCTGTAGGTGGGTGGGAAGACTGGTGGGTAGTCATGGCTTGAAATTATAAGAGCTGCCATCTGGATTCTTCACCCTCCTCAGACCCCACGCCTATGGAGCCTCATGCCCAAAAACCTCTAGCTTCAGCCCACCTGACATCTACTGCTGGGGACACCAGGACACCTGGCCATCCACTTCTCCCAGAGACGCCTTCTGAATTGGGAGCCTGTGGTGAGTCCCTCTGGGCCAGCCTACTGGGTGTTGAGCAGGAAAGAGGAGGCCTAAGAGGAGGCCCATGGTAGCTTGGGATTGCAGCTGAACATGGGCTGTGAGCCAGGGGAAGGGGAGACCCTGAGAGTCCTCTGCCTGCTCCTCCTATCAGAAATGGCAGGACCAAATAAGCTATAATGGAGCTAGCTGCTTGAGATTTTCAGGCTTAGGAAGAGAAAGCTTGGAGAATATGCAAAGGTTGCCCTTCAGGGATTCTAATAAAGACCAGACCAAAATTAACCTAACTAGAAGCATAGCAAAGGAAATAGAGGACAGAGATAAGGGAACTGGGCATTGGAATGAGTTTCAGGGGGAGATTCCCAACTGTTCAGCCTGGGAGGGGTCACTTTGCTCACGGAAATGGGGAGGAGCAAAGATTGGTGTAAGGGAGTTTGACTGCAACCACCTCTGACTTTGACTCTTACTATAGACTTTGAGAAGCCCGAGGGCCCCCGACCTGGCAACAGCAGCTCCCCTGGATCACCAGTGGCATCCAGCCCCAGCAGGCTGAGCCCCACCCCAGATGGGCCTCCACCCTTGGCTCAGTCCCCACTGATCCTGCAGCCCTTGGCTTCTCCACTGCAGGTGGGCGTGCCACCCATGACTCTGCCCATCATCCTCAACCCTGCTCTCATTGAAGCCACCTCACCAGTGCCCCTCCTGGCCACACCCCGCCCCACAGACCCCATGACCACCTCTGAAGTTAACTAAACAGGCCCCTCGGAGATCAGGACCTGTCCCTGGCCCCCCTTCCAGCTGTCCCAGGGGCCATACTCTTCAGGCCCAGCTCGAGCTGCTATCGCTGCTACTTGTATGGGGACCTACAAAACAGAACTTGTATAGCCCTTCCTGGGACCCACAATCAGGCTGCAGGACCTTCCTCCTCTGCTCTCCATTCTTGGGGGTTCAACCTGAGAGCAAACTCAGGTATCACCTGCCGCCTGGTAGCTCTGGGGAGGCATCACTGTGCCAGCCCTGCAGTGCCTGCCCTTTTGTCCCTCCTGCCCATGGTTAGGCATTGAGAGCCAAGCCAACCACTCTGCACTTTGTTTCCCTCTCCCATCCCCACTCCCATCAGCCCTGGGCCGCCTCCTCCAGTTCTTGCTCTTTTACTAATTTGTTGGTCAGTTTGAAGAGCTGATTGGCATTAAGGGTGGGTAGATGGGGCTGACAGGGGGGATTGCCCACAGAAACATGTACATATGGAAAAACAGGACAACAGTGGACTTTTTATGATGTAATAAATGTCTTAGTACCATTAATGCTTTTCCCTCTGGTTTTCTTCTTGAACTTGTGGGCACCATGTTCTTAGGATACCCAGGGAGTAGATCTTGCATGAACAGAAGTGACACTGAACCTTCCAACAGTCTGGTCCATGTGGCCCCAGGCCAAAAGCCAGCCAGATGCCAGGACTAAGGTCAGGATTCCTTTACCGCTGCCCGATGACCACCATCAGCACAGCAGTGCCCCTTTGCCAGCAGGGATGTGCCAGGGGTTTGGGCAGTTGTCCTCTTTTCTGACTGCTCCAAGGAAGACACCTGAGACTCAGATCAAGGGAAACCAGAGCTGAGATGTAGTTATTCAAGAAGTTTTCCTTCTTCATGTGCCTCATGATCCAGGAGCAAAAGGAGCCTATGGACTTATGAGAGGACCATCTTGCCCATAACTGTGATCATGTGTATGTGGGCACAGGGACATTCATTTTGGCCCCAAGTTGAGGAGGGACCATTTCTTCCACCCCACAGCCTCCATCCATCCCAATCCCTGAAGCATGAGCGGAGAACCTGTCCTCTTTCCCTTTACATCAGGGTAAGGAGGTGTGAATGTGAATGAGGCAGGCTGTGTAGCTCCTGCAAAGCTTAGGTACTGTGGACAGGATGCAGAATGCTATGTATTAAGCTTTCCCAAGTGAAGCATCTATATCATCTTGGTTTCCTCCTCCTTTATGGCCCCGTCCCCCAGTGGGGGAGGGAGTGGTACCCTACTGAACTACCAGCTGACATCCTCATAAAGAGTTAGGGACACTCACCCTCTTTATTTGGGCCCAGTTGGCTATGTGATCATTTAGCACCTTTGCTCAGCACAACCGTGTAGATGTTCCTGGGAGTCTGAACCTCTGTAAGTATCCCCCTCAGGTGTGAAAGAGAGTGCCTTGGAAATGGGGTTAGCCTGATGTGAAAAAATACTGACATGAGCCGAGACCGGTTTGGCTCAGTGGATAGAGCATCGGCTTGGGGACTGAAGGGTCCCGGATTCGATTCCAGTCAAGGGCATGTACCTTGGTTGCGGGCATATCTCCAGTAGGGAGTGTGCAAGAGGCAGCTGATCGATGATTCTCTCTCGTCGATGTTTCTGGCTCTCTATCTCTCGCTCTTCCTCTCTATATAAAATCAATAAAAGATATTTAAAAAAAAAATACTGACGTGAGACCTAAAACTCCTATACTAGTTTCTACCTCTTCCTTTCCTTCTTCCCCAAGTAGCCCAGACTATCCTTGGTTTCCCAACCCTGCCCACGGGGAAATTAGGATTATGACTGCACTTTTCTGAATGAGTGCGGAAAACAGGATCTACAGTCAGGTTGACACTGGGCTCTTGGCTTGGTAACAGTTATGATGTCTCTGTCCTGCCATCTGAGCCCCACCCACAAGCTCTGCCTTCAGAAGCTTGCATGTGTTTCCGAGGGGAGGAGGGGGTCAAAAGTTATACATGAATTGTTTACTATGGGATGTCAGTACCCCTAATCCCGCATTGTCAACTGTACAGAATTAGTTCCAATGGACGCACACACCCAAAACAATCCTAGAAACAACAGAAAATGTGGCTACCCAGCACTTTGGGATTTAGCTTTGCTTAGGGCTCACTGCTTTGGGAGATGAATGGCCTTGGGGAAGCAGAAGCCCTCAGTCCCTGGGCCTCTGTTGCAGAGAAGGAACTTTAGTTCAAGTAATTACTCACCCCCTCTTTGAAATATTCTTCACTCGGCTTCTGAGACACTATTTTCTTGGTTCTCTCCTACCTCACTGGCCACGCCTTTTTAATTTCCTTTTTGGCTCCTCCTCATCTCCAGCCTCTGAACATTACTAGTAGAATGCCCCAGAGTCCCTCAAGTTCTTTCCCTATACTCAGTCACTGGATAATGTTCACTGTCAAGACTTTAAGTACCATCCATTACACTAATTATGTCCAACTACCCCTTTCATTTCCACTTGTATGCCTCATCAGCTCTCAAACATAACAAACGTAAAAGGGAAAATTCTTGATTACCCCCTCACCCCCACTTTACAAATCTGCTCCTTCCCCGGTCTGCCCCATATCACTAAAGGACAGCTCCATTCTTCTAGGTTCTTATGCCAAACTAAGCCCCTCTTTTCTATATCCAATTCCTCAGCCACCACTGGTCTACTGGTCAACCTCCTGTTTTCTAGTTCCAGGATCTCTATTCTCTCCACACTGAAACCAAAAGGATCCTTTTAAAACCCATTTTCATTCCATTGCTTAAAACTACCTATGGCTTTCCATCTCATTCAGAATAAAATAAAAAGTTCTTACTTTATCCCACCTACCTAATTTTCTTACTGTGCTTCAAATATGCCAAACACATTCATATCAGACCTGTACACTGCTAATCCCTGCACCTGGAATGTTTTCCCCCCAGATGTCCCTATAACTCAGTCCATTTTTTTCTAGTCACTTTTCAAATGTTAGAGAAGCCCTCTCTGCCTGCCACATATAAAACTTGTATCACTCTTTGCCCCCATACCTACTTTTTCTCCATAGCACTTACCACCAACTGACATTTCTCCATTTGATTTTTTTACAGAGAGGAAGAGAGAGGGATAGAGTGTTAGAAACATCGACGAGAGAGAATCATCGATCAACTGCCTCTTGCACACCCCCTACTGGGGATGTGCCCGAAACCAAGGTACATGCCCTTGACCGGAATCAAACCTGGGATCTTTCAGTCCGAAGACTGACACTCTATCCACTGAGCCATACAGGTTTTGGCTCTCCATTTGATTTTTATCTTCAAACAAGGATATTGTTTTCTAAAGTATGTCCTCACTATTTAGTGGTGAATGAAATAGAATGAGTTTATAGTGCCTCTGCTTTGGGCCAGGTGCTAGGGCTGCATACAAAAACAGAGAGAGCCCGGCCAACATGGCTCGGTGGTTGAACAATGACCTGAGAACTGGGAGGTCACGGTTTGATTCCGGGTCAGGGCACATGCCTGGTTTTCGGGCTCCATTCCCAGTGTGGCACATGTAGGAGGCAGCCAATCAGTTATTCTCTCTCATTGATGTTTTTATCTATCCCTTCCTCTCTGAAATCAATGGAAATATATTTTTTAAAGTCACTTTAGAAACAAAAATAATCATTAGGCTGAAAATTAACAGAATAGACAATGAAGAAGTTTCTTAAGCCCAGCTAGATGAGGCTATAGCAACTGACAATAAACCTTGAGTCAGTTAAAATTCCCAGGCCAACATTGTGAATTGTTGGAATTGATTAATGGGAACATAGGGGTTTATTATACTATTTTCTGCACTCTTATGTTTTATATGAATTTGTGGAGAAAGAGCTTTATCCTAGTTAACGGACTGGCTTTGAATTCTTGCTCTGCCTTTTCTAGCTGTGTTACTTCACTTCTCTGAGACTTCATTTCTTCATCATTAAAGTAAAGTAATATTTATCTCCTAGGGATGTAGGAAGGAAGAACAAGACTTATAGTAAAGAACCTTAATATAGTACCTGGCACATTCCACTTGTGGGCAAGGTGAAGAGGAAGGGGAAGTAACAGGAAAAAGCCCAAACCAAGAGCTATAATAGTCTTCCGTTATGTAGAGCTAGTGCATACCTGTAATTCCATTATTAAGAAGGTTAGGGGAAAGTTACAGGAAAGATCTGAAAAAACAACCTGTGTTCTACTGTGAGCCCAAGGTAGGATGACTCCGGGTATGGAGGTACTCATGGCATTCCTAAAGAGAGGGTACAGAGCAGAGATGTCCAGCCTCAGAGTTAGTACTTTGTGAACTTCTGCACTAACCTTGCTGCTTCTAGAAGTGTACAAGCGGACGTTGGGGACTATATAAAAGGCAGTTTCCTACATCGGAGGGAGTTTGAACTATTAAGATTGTGGATACCTTTTGAATTCTAATACCCCGAGTCTCTGTGACGGATTAGCAAAGCCTTTCCAGGCGCAGCGGTCCTGATTCAGTCCTGTCTGAAAGCCTGGCCCTCTGTAAACCTTCCATTTATAGAATACGTTTTAGGTCCAGTGTCTCCTCCATGGGGGGAGGAGTTAGAATCTGAGAGGATGATTACAGAGTCTCCTTGCAGTTCCAGAGAGGCCGCCAGAGGGCGTCCTAGGACCGACTGGAAGATCAACTTCCTTCCCCTTCCCCTGACTCTTCCCCGCAGGGGGAGCCTCTCGGGGCGGGGGACCCGAGGGCTGGCCGTCAGCTTCCCCCTGGAGTTCTCCAGCCAAGCGTTAGGCACTGCAAAAGCCGGTACAGCGGGGACTACCATCTGTTTGAGGGAGGCCTGAGTGACAGAGGAGACCAGGGTCGGGGCCCTTGGCCGGGGGATGGCGCTAGTTTCACGAATCCTGCCTCTGGCTGATACTCCTCTCCTCACCCCCCGCCCGCCCGCGCTGGAGCCCGCGCCTGGCTGACACCCCCCCCCCTACTCCCCGCGCGGCGCGAGTATCCCCCTCCCGTCCGAAGGGGCACGCTAGAGTCGCCCCCGATTGGCTGTGGGCGCCCGGAGTTAAACTTTCAGCCAATGGAAGAGGGCGGAGGGCGTGACGCACGGAAACGTCACGGGAATTCCCCCCTCCCGGGGGCGGAAAAGGGGCTTTCCCCGCTGGAGCCCTGGGCCCGGAGAGGTGTCGCGACCCGTCCGAGCTGGGTCGGGCCGGGAGAGAAGCCGGGACCGAAGCCGCCGCCGCGGTGAGTGGCCGGGTTCAGCCTGGGTGGCCGAGACCCGGGAAGGCGGGAGGAGGGCCCGTAGCTGATGGAAAGCGGCATTCACACACACACACACACACACACACACACACACACACGACCCAGACACCCGGATACACATCAGCATCCTCGACAAAGACACGCGGACCCGTACCTCTGCCGGCGGGTGCACAGCATCACCCATGCACTCAGCTTCGCACACACGTACACATGCAAACATACCCTTCACGCACACACTCTAACATATGTCCACCTGTGTCCTTACACATCAAGACAAGCTCAGGCATGTGTCCACCCTGCGAAGTTTAAGGTCGCTCACCTGTTGCCCGCACGCCAGCGCGGGGGCTGGAACAGCTCGGGGTGCCTGTGATGGAGACACACTGCCACACAGGGCCACGGCCCGGAGCAGGGCATGAGCACCATAGCCAGTGCGGGGTGCGAGTAACCGCTGCCCAGATGTTTCGGGGGTAGGAGCCCATCCCAAAGAGGAGACACTTTTTCTCCCTCCTCCCCACCCCCCACGACCCCAAGAACCCCGGAGCCCCCCACCGGGAAGAGCCCCCGCCTACAGGCCTTCGGGGAGCAGGCCTTTCTGCAGTAGGAATGTCCCCCCAAAAGCCCCCGGGTGAATCAGCCGTGGCCTCCCTTTGGGTAGAAAAATCCCAGGGTTGCTCCAGCGTAGGGGAGGCGAAGGGGGCGGGAGGCGGGCCACGTCCCTCGTCCAGGAGCCTTCCCAGGCCTTGAAAGACCCTGGAGTCCCCGGCACCTGCCCTGGAGAGAGGAGGGGAGCCCGGCCCACGGGGGCTTCCCTGGGCCCGGCTGCCCCTCTCCCGGCCGAGGCTGCGGGCGCCCAGAGGCCGGTGCCGACCGGGCGCCCCTCCCGCGCGGGGGGCGTGGCCGCTGCGTCATTTCCAGTCCCGCCCCCTCCGGCCCCGCCTCCCCCTGGTATTTTCGGGACTTTCCTAAGCTGTTCTAACTTTCCTGCCCCTTCCCCGGCCCGGCCCGGCCCGGCTCCAGATCTCGCCCTCCGCCGGATCTCCCCCGCCGCACCCGGACGGGTGGCTGGAGGAGATCCGACCCTTCCCCGAACCTGGGGCCCCCTCTCCCCGCACCCCGGCCCCGACCCGTCTCTCACTGCCCCCGCCACTCCTCCTCACCCAGGGCGGGCGCCTGAAACTCTGGGGAACGGATCCGGCCGGAGCCGCCGGACAGAATCGGGCCTCGCCCAGGGACATGGAGAGCTGCTACGACCCAGTGAGTCACTCCGCCTGGCCCCAGAGCCGCCGGCGGCCCCCGTGCTTGTCTGCCGGCCGGCCCGTGTCCCTTCTGCTCCCGGCTACCTGTGACGCCTCAGGGCGTTTCAGCCTGCCTGCTAGTCTGCGTGCACACTGCTTCCAACGGGAGCTCTTTCATGGACCTGGGAGGGAGAGGGGGTGATTACTGAGGGGGTGGAGAGCTGGGAGGTGGAGGGCCCTGTGGGTGGCCCAGAACCAGCTGCCACCCCAGTCTGTCTCCAAACCAGAGTCTGGATGGCATCATCGAATATGACGATTTCAAGTTCAACCCTTCCCTGATGGAGCCCAAGGAGCCTGCCCCAGAGACAGGTCAGTAAGTCTTTGAACCTCCCCTAGTCTTAGCGGGAGGGGGAGGGTCGGAGGAGGGTGCGCCTTCTGCCTTGGGGATGGGCTCGGAGATCCTGGATCAGCAAGGCCCCTCTGTCCCCAGCTGACGGCCCCTACCTGGTGATCGTGGAACAGCCCAAGCAGGTGAGTGAGTGGACGGGATAGGACGGGGTGGCCTGGGCTTTGGGGGCACATGGGGTAGTTGTAGCTGGGTGGTCATGGGGAGGAGGGTCACTGACCACAGTGATTTTCGCTGCTGATCACCGTGGTGTGGTTGTGATTCAGACAGATACCACCAGTCATGATGGTCACTGCTGGCAGGGCGTATGGCTGGCTCGAGGGGGTGGGCGGGGGGTGGCGTGGGGGTCCTCCCTGGTCACATGTCACTCTATCCTGGGACCTTCAGCGAGGCTTCCGATTCCGATATGGCTGTGAAGGCCCCTCCCACGGAGGGCTGCCAGGTGCCTCCAGCGAGAAGGGCCGGAAGACTTACCCCACGGTCAAGGTGAGCAAGGGTGGTGCTCCAGGTGGGCTCGCGGACAGGGTGTCCAGCGGGATTGCTGACAGCCCTCCACCCTCACAGATCTGTAACTACGAGGGGCCCGCCAAGATCGAGGTGGACCTGGTGACACACAGCGACCCGCCTCGTGCCCATGCCCACAGCCTGGTGGGCAAGCAGTGCTCGGAACTGGGGGTCTGCGCTGTGTCTGTGGGGCCCAAGGACATGACTGCCCAGTAGGTGTCCCCTACCCCTGGCCCCTTCCTGGCATGCCCCCTCCTTACCTGCCAGTCCTAGGCCCCACCCAGCCCATCTCTAGGGAGAGACTTAGGTTGGCCCCCAGAACCCACGGCCACAAGTAAAAACCAGAAAAGCTTCCTAGAGGAAGTAAGGCTGGGCTGAGCCTGGCAGTGGGGAGGGCGGCTCAGGAGGAAAGAGCCACCCTCTTTCTGTAACACTTCTGACCTCCCCACCCCCAACTCAGATTCAACAACCTGGGTGTCCTGCACGTGACCAAGAAGAACATGATGGAGATTATGATACAGAAACTTCAAAGGCAGAGGCTCCGCTCCAGGCCCCAGGGCCTTACAGGTACGGTGGGGCGGGAGCCACGGGAGGGGGTTGTGAAAGGAGAAAGGGGAGCAGTGCCGAGGTCATGGGCTCCCTGTGCAGAGGCGGAGCGGCGGGAGCTGGAGCAGGAGGCCAAGGAGCTGAAGAAAGTGATGGACCTGAGCATCGTGCGGCTGCGCTTCTCCGCCTTCCTTCGAGCCAGCGACGGCTCCTTCTCGCTGCCCCTGAAGCCTGTCATCTCCCAGCCCATCCACGACAGCAGTGAGTGCCTCCGAGCCTGGGGTGTGAGACCCGGGGGTCAGAGAGAGCCCCACAGGCACCCTCACGCTGCGGAGTCAGACAGGCCTGGGTTTGAACGTGGCCCTGCCACGTATGACTAAGAGATCTTGAGCAAGTCATTTCCCCTCTCTGAGTATGGCTTCTTCTGTCTCGGGTAAATGCAATTACTGGTGGTTCCTCTTGGGGTTGTTCAGATAAGGATACAAAGCACGTGGCTCCACCCATGGGGCCATCACTCTTACAACATCTCAAGTAATTGGTATTCCACCCCCACAGAGTCTCCCGGGGCCTCCAACCTAAAGATTTCTCGAATGGACAAGACAGCTGGCTCCGTGCGGGGCGGAGACGAGGTTTATTTGCTTTGTGACAAAGTGCAAAAAGGTGAGGCTGGGAACTAAGGATGCTGGGAGTCAAGATTGGGGGCAAGCCAAAACCGGTTTGGCTCAGTGGAGAGAGCAGCATCGGCCTGAGGACTGAAAGGTCCCAGGTTCGATTCCGGTCAAGGGCATGTACATTGGTTGCGGGCACATCCCCGGTGGGGGATGTGCAGGAGGCAGCTGGTCAATGTTTCTCTCTCATCGATGTTTCTAGCTCTCTATCCCTCTCCCTTCCTCTCTGTGAAAAATCAATAAAATATATTTAAAAAAAAAAAAAAAAAAAAAAAAAAAAAGGTTGTGGGCAAGGGCACCTTCGGGGAAAATGGCCCTGAAGGTGCCAGTCAGAGCTGTGGCCAAGCCCCTGTCCTCCCTGCAGATGACATTGAGGTCCGTTTCTACGAAGACGATGAGAACGGATGGCAGGCCTTCGGGGACTTCTCTCCCACGGATGTCCATAAGCAGGTACCCCCGGGGCCCCCTGGCCAGGGGCGGGGGCCCATCGAGGCCACGGCCTCAAGGACACTCTGTCTTCCTGTTGCCCAGTATGCCATCGTGTTCCGGACGCCTCCCTACCACAAGATGAAGATCGAGCGCCCCGTAACCGTGTTCCTGCAACTGAAACGCAAGCGCGGGGGCGATGTCTCCGACTCCAAACAGTTCACCTACTACCCTCTGGTGGAAGGTGGAGCGGGGCTGAGGATCCCAGGGGGCTGGGTGGAGGGCTGGGACCGGGCTGGAAAGTCCCAAGAACCAGACCAGGGTGCCCATGAGTCAAGTTCGGAGTGGGGAAGGTCCCAGAAAGAGGTGGTCCTCGGAGGGCTTTGGGGGGAAGGGTCATTACCAACCTTGGGAGGAGGCTCCGGAGTGGCCCGCGAGCTGGGGTTCTAACACCTCCTTTCCCTCTGCAGACAAGGAGGAGGTGCAGCGGAAGCGGAGGAAAGCCTTGCCCACCTTCTCCCAGCCTTTTGGGGGTGGCTCCCACATGGGCGGAGGCTCTGGGGGCTCGGCAGGTGGTTACGGAGGAGCCGGAGGAGGCGAGTGAGGGGTGCTGGTGGCATGAAGGGCGGTGGAGGGGCGAGGGGTAGCGGGGAGGGAAGTTGTGTGGGAGGGAATCCGGGAGAGTCAGGCGGGTGCCGCCCCTCCACCGACTGCTTGTCTTCACAGGTGGCAGCCTCAGCTTCTTCCCTTCCTCCTTGGCCTACAGCCCCTACCAGGCCGGGGCAGCCCCCATGGGCTGCTACCCGGGCGGCGGGGGCGGGGCGCAGATGGCTGATGGGGGGGCACCTGGCGGGGATGCTAGGGAGGAAGCAGCAGCGCCGAGCGCGCCCCCCGAGGACCCCCACCGCAAACCGCAAGCTCAGGGGCTGCTGCAGCGAGGTACAGCCCCGGGATTCGGGTGGCCGGGGCGCGGGGGGGGGGGGGGGGAGACCGCGCCCGCGCCCACGGCCCTGTCGCCCTCAGCCCAGGAGTACAACGAGCGCCTGTTCGGCCTGGCGCAGCGCAGCGCCCGGGCCCTGCTGGACTACGGCGTCACCGCGGACGCGCGCGCGCTGCTGGCGGGACAGCGCCACCTGCTGACGGCGCAGGACGAGAACGGAGACACGTAGGTGGCGGGAGGGTGGGGGAGGGAGCGGGGGAGGGCGGGGAGGACGTGGCTCCAGGGTTCGGGTTGGGGATGGGCGTGCTGTGGAAGGTCGTGGGGTGCCCTGGAGTTGAACAGACCCGCTTTCAAGTCGGGCTCGCTATGTGCTAGTTCTGTTCAAGGGACTACCTCTCTCGATACTTGGGATGTGTCAACGGTTAAAGGTATTTCTCTACCAGGTCAGTGTTTCCCAAACGTCTCTCATGAATATGTTCCCCAAAGTTCTAGTTTAGCACTTCTTAGTTGGGATTCAGGAATCTGTAGGTTAACAGCTCCACCAGGGGATTCTCATCATGAGAGGAGTTTGGGAAACACTGACCTACCTCAAAGGTGGTCAGGAAGGATTGAGTTCAGGTGCTGCATTGCCCTTAAGAGAGGTCTGGGCTCAACAGGCCCCAGCGAGGCAGACTGGAGGCCGTGGGGTGTTGAGGGTACAGGGTGCTCCCGCTGCCCGGGCTTGCTGAACCAAAGTCTCCACCCCGACCCGCAGGCCGCTGCACCTGGCCATCATCCACGGGCAGACCAGTGTCATCGAGCAGATAGCCCACGTCCTCTACCACGCTCGGCACCTCGGGGTGGTCAACGTCACCAACAACCTGCACCAGGTGAGGGGCCCCTATGCGAGAGGCTGAGAGCTGGAAAGCGAGTGGGCCTAGGCCGGGGGCAGTCCTGGCTCACTCTGCCTGCGCCCCCAGACACCCTTGCACCTGGCGGTGATCACCGGGCAGACCAGCGTGGTGAGCTTCCTGCTGCAGGTGGGCGCAGACCCCACGCTGCTTGACCGGCATGGAGACTCGGCGGTGCACCTGGCCCTGAGGGCGGGTGCCGGTGCCCCTGACCTGCTGGGGGCGCTGCTGCGGAGCGGGGCTCCCGCCGTGCCCCAGCTGTTGCACATGCCAGACTTCGAGGGTGAGTTCCTCACCTCAGCTGGACCAGGGGCCGGGGTGGGGACCGGGGAGGGTAACTGAGTGCCCGGAGGGGAGGTACGGTGTGGAGGTCAGCTTGTCGGAGCCACAGCTGCAGGTCCCGTGCCCCTAGGGCTGTACCCGGTCCACCTGGCGGTCCGTGCCCGGAGCCCCGAGTGCCTGGACCTGCTGGTGGACAGCGGGGCTGACGTGGAGGCTGCGGAGCGGCAGGGGGGCCGCACAGCGCTTCACCTGGCCACGGAGATGGAGGAGCTGGGCTTGGTGACCCATCTGGTCACCAAGGTAGGAACAAGGACCATGGAGGGACCGAGGATGGTGAGGACACGGGGAGAGGAAAAGCCAGCCCGCGGGGGCTGTAACCGACCACCTCTTTGCCCTCCACAGCTCCGTGCCAACGTGAACGCACGCACCTTTGCGGGAAACACACCCCTACACCTAGCAGCTGGACTGGGGTCCCCGACCCTCACCCGCCTCCTCCTGAAGGCTGGTCAGTCTCACCCTCGGGGGCCCAGGAGGAGGACTGGGAGGAGAAAAAGGGGTGCCTCCCACGCACCCCACGTGGCGATCCTGAGTGTGGGTTCCCATCCTAGGTGCTGACATCCATGCTGAGAACGAGGAGCCCCTGTGCCCGCTGCCTTCGCCTCCCACCTCTGGGAGCGACTCAGATTCTGAGGAGCCTGAGCGGGACACCCGAAGCAGCTTCCGTGGCCACACACCGATCGACCTCACTCGCAGCACCAAGGTGAGGCGGCCTGGACAAGGAGTTCCAGGGAATGGGGTGTCTGGGCTTGGTGGTTGAGGTTCAGTGTACCTGGTACCTGGGCCTGCGGAGTGGGGTGGGAGCAGTGAGGCTGAGGCTGTCTCTCCAGGTGAAGACGTTGCTGCTAAATGCTGCTCAGGACACCATGGCGCTGCCCCTGACCCCGCCCAGCCCTGCAGGTGAGCTCTCGCCACTCATTCCTCGCCCCAGCCCCTGCTCACAGAGGTCTTTCTCTTTAGCTCTCTGAAGGGGCCACCCTGTCTGTCAGGTTGCCATGGGAGAAAAGTGGTGTCTGAGCCCATCTCTGGAGGTAACCGACACATCTGTGTGTCTGTCCCCCTCAGGGCCAGAGCTGCCCCTTGAGGATACCGCCCTGCAGAACCTGGAGCATCTGCTGGACGGGCCCGGGGCTCAGGGCAGCTGGGCGGAGCTGGCAGAGCGGCTGGGGCTGCGCAGTCTGGTGGACACGTACCGAAAGACAGCCTCGCCCAGTGGCAGCCTCCTCCGCAGTTACAAGGTCCGTTGGGCCCTGTCCCCTGCTCCCTGTCTGCTTCCTGGGCCCCGGGGCTCCTGACCCCACATCCGAGCTATGACTGCGGTTCTCATACCTCCTCCTCCTCTCCAGCTGGCAGGTGGGGACTTGGCAGGCCTCCTGGAAGCTCTGTCTGACATGGGCCTAGACGAGGGAGTGAGGCTGCTGAGGGGCCCCGAGGCCCAAGACAAACTGCCCAGCACAGGTAAAAGGGTCATCCCAGGGAGGTCATCTGGGCCTGGCGGATGGGAAGCCTAAGGCCCTAACTCTCTTCTCCTCTCCCCATTCCCTCCCTCTCCCTCTGTCTACTTCCCTGCAGAAGTGAAAGAGGACAGTGCCTATGGGAGCCAGTCGGTGGATCAGGAGGCCGAGAAGCTAGGCCCATCGCCGGAGCCACCAGGAGGACTCTGCCATGGGCACCCGCAGCCTCAGGTGCACTGAACTGCTGCCCATTTGCTGCCCCCTTCCTGGGCCCTCTGTACAGCATCCCCGCCTATTCTAGTCCTTATTTAACACCCATGCCCACCCCTCAGTTGGGGTAAATAAAGGATTCTCATGGGAGAGGGAGGGGGCCTGGCCCCGTCCCAAAGTCAGAGCCGCTCTTGAGTGACATGTCCTACCCGGGCCCAATGCCGGGCACTGAGAGAAAAGGAGGTCCAGTCGGCAAGTCCAGAGCAGTTTTAATGGGGCTGGAGGCCGTGTAAAGGGCAGGGCCCACGAGAGGAGGGAAAGCAAGGCCATGCTGTCCCCAGCCGGTGCACAGGGGCCTGGGCATGGACACCTTCCTCCGCCTCCAGAAAGAGGGAAGGTGAGCCTCAGGAAGAAGGAAAACCAGCTCGTCCCCAGCTCCCGGCCTCTGTCTGAGCCAGGCCCTGGGACGGAGGAGGGTTGCTGGTGTCGGGTGGGGGTGGTCTCAGCAGAAAGCAGAACCGTTGTCAGCCTCCCCCCCCTCCCCAAAAAAAAAGCATCAGAAGTCCAGGGCCCCGGCCCCTCCCACCCCAGCCCCCAGTACGAAAAAGTGCAAAACATTATCACAAAATGGGGGGAGGGATGTCTCTGAGGGGCTCTAAGCCTAGGCTCCTGGGGCCCGTGCCCTAGCCCTGCACTGCCCCGGACACCGCGTCCGGCGCGGTAGGGCCCTGGGCCGAAGGGCCCTCAGGGGTCACCGAGGCCGGCCCGGGCTCAGGCAGGACCATGTCATGCAGTGCCCAGGGGGCACCCCCACACACACACTCTCACCCCCGACTCAGGGCCTCCGACGCCCACTGCCCGCCCCTGCCCGAGGCTCCGAGCCACGACACTGAGCCCGGGGCTGGCTGGAGACATGGGGCTGCAGGGAGGGACTGGAGCGAGGTGGGGGGACTCCGTCCTCCGTGCTGCCGGCTTGGGCCAGGGCTGCCTCTACCACGTCCAGCTCTTCACTGCCCGCCTTCAGCTTGACCCGAAGCAGTGCTGCATATGTGCCATAGCGGGATTTCTGAGGCAGAGGGGCAGGGGCCGTGAGCCAACCCTCCACCCTCTGCCCATCCCATCCCATCTCTGCCCGTCTGGACCAAGGAGGGAAACCAACGAAGGCTAGGAGAGGGCAGGTTCTTGCCCACGCTGGACCCCCAAGGAGGTGACATGATCCCCAGTAGGTTGGTGACCCTCTATGAGCTCTCAAGATGGCCAGTTGTCACCGCCATTGTTTCCTGAGCCTTTACCAGAGTTGACAGACATCTCACTTCCTGACCCTCGTGAGTACAGAACAGTCTCCCTGACCCACAGAAGAGGGAACTAACGCTGAGAGGGATTAATAAGCAAGACTTTAGGAGTCCATGCCCTTGACCACGAGGCTGACCCTGTGCTGGGGACACAGAAGTCCCGCTAATGGGGACAGGTGGCACGTAGGTGCCCAAGGCTCACCTCAAACTCCAGGTAGGCCTCCTTCTGCCGCTGCTCCTCAGCCTCCTTGCCCCGGGCCTTCTTGCCCAGCAGGGCAGCCTGGTGCTCCTGCAACTCACTCGCCATGGCCTTCAGCTTGGCCTCATGGGTCCGCACTTGCTCCTCCTAGCGGCAGAGGGAACACGGTCAGGGTTCCTCTGGCACACACAGTGCCTTTGCGCACGTTTATGTAAAAGGTGCCCCTTTCTGAGGATGAGCAAACTACTGTCTGGGCGCACAGCATGGCAAGGAGAGTGGCAGCTGGGTTTCGGCCTCCATTCGCCTCCGTGACCACCCTGTGACCATTGTCCTGGTGCACTGGACGTCTACGTAATCAGAGCCAGCAGCCTTGAGACTGCAGCTGGCCTGAGCCTGCCCTACTCCATCCTGCTGGCCGCTGGCCGGGGTTGGGGGGACAGAGCTGGGAGTACCTGGGAGAGGCGGGTGGCAGCGCTGGGCAGCAGAGGGCGGCTGAACTTCTTCTGGGAACTCACAGCGGCTGGGAAGGGGGGTGCAGAGAACATGGCGGCCACCACATTGATGCGAGTGATCCAGGACTGCATCTGCTCCAGGCTCCTGAGGAGACAGCTACTTGGGACCTGAGCCCAGGGCTCCTGCCCAGGAGTGTGAGTCCTGGCTCAGGATGTGGCCCGAGAAAGAAGGAACCCGGGAGGGAGGGAGGGAGGGAGGCGGGGGGGAGCACGATGGGGATGGAGAGCAGGGGTCCGGGAGGGGCAGGAGGAAGGCACTCACGGAGCCTGGAAGAGGAAGACCCTCCAGTCGGCCGTGCGCAGGTAAAAGACGTGGGGCCTCTTGCTGTAGTCCTTGGCGCGGGTGGCCAGCGCGTGGTGGATGCTGATGGCATTCTTAAGCTCTGCCTCCGACAGGGCCTTCCCGGGCTGGTACTCCTCCTGCAGGGTGCCCACCTCATCCTGGCCACAGGCCCAGCCTGGCCCAGCCCAGCCACCTTCCCCAGAGCCAGCTCAGCCCCCACCCCGTGGGCTGGCCCCGAACCTTCTGCAGGTACAGGATCATGCCCTTGAGGATCCCATGGAAGCTCTTCCAGCCCCGTTTGCCCCGAGGTGCTGAGGGAGGGAGGGAGGGAGGGGGAACAGGTCAGGGAGGACAGGGACAGGCCACTCCCTCCCCGGCCCCCAGGCCCCGGCCCAGGCCACGTACTCTTCCTGCAGTCGGGGTCCGCGTGCACCTTTCGCACCAGGGCCCCGTGCTTGTAGACCGAGGCCCCGGGCTCAGGAGTCAGGTCCAGGAAAGGGCTGGAGCCGCTGCCGCTGCCCCCGCTCACCCTCTTGATGACCTTGGGGTTGGGGTCGGCCAACTCAGACAGAGAGCGTCTCAACTCCTCCTCGTCTCTGCAGGTGTGATCACCCCAGAGCGGGCTGGCTAGGAAGCCACAGCCCCCCCCCCCTTTCAATCCTGGCCTCTGTTCACCCAGGAAAGCCCCTCCAGTGTTTGCAGACACGGGGGTGTGGCTCCCCTCAACCTGAGGCACCGGAACCACGGTTCCCACCTCACACCAGGTCTCCCCAGAGGGTAGCTGTGTCTCCCACTCCGATCAGGGCGCCATGAGGCAGAATGGCTCCTCCGATCAGAGCCCCAAGGGTAAGGCCAGGTCTGTCCCTTCCTCCCCTCCCATGCAGCCAACCCCATCCTCTCCATTTCTGTGTGTACTCGCGCGCACACACACGCACGCACGCACGCACGCACGCACACGCACACCCCTTTTCTACCAGGACAGACATATGTCTGACTCAGCTGTCTCAACCACACGCAACTCCAGCTCACAGCTTGTTGGCAAAATGGTGTCAGAAGTAGCTGCTCCCTAGTGGTCCCCTGCTACACCCCTGTCTGCAGGCCATCAGGTGTCCTCTGAGAAGTGATTCTGTCTGGTCACTCCGAGCTCAACCTGCAAGCTGCCTACTGCTTCCCACATGGAGCCTGTAATACATCCCTGCCAACACCCTCCTTCCGCACTCCCAGCAGGCCTGCCTCCTCCTCGTCTCCCCACCCCATACTCACTTCAGACCTCACATGTTTGCCGCCCAAATACCAACTTCCCTTTTTCTCTTCCCAAATGCTCCCCCTCTTTCAAATCTTGCTCCCCAAGTCCCAATCCTCCAAGAAGCTTTCCCTGTACCCCCGTCCTAAGCTCTGCCTCCTGAGGTTTTCGCTCTCACCTACTGGGAACTCCCACTAAACGGGGCAGTGACTGGACTCTTAGCAGATCCTAGAAAACATGAGTGAGGTGAGGGCTCTCCCCTCAGACTGGGGGGCCCAAGGCTAAAACTGGACCTTCTCCCTCAAATGGACTCTTCGAGAAGCTCCAAGATTTCTTCTGAGTCTCTCTCTCCACTGGGACTGTACCCAGTAGCCACTGTGGTCCCTTGTCTGTGACACTTAGGGCTCCCTCGCACCCAAGAGGGGTGTCTCATGCTACCGGCCCAGGGCCCTTACCTCCAGCGACTTTGTTTTCCCACTAGGATTGCCAAGGGACCTCCCCTTCTGCAGTCCTCCTCCTAGGCCAGCTGACAGTGGCCACTTACCCCAACCCAGCTTGTCATAACAACCCAGCTAGAGACAAGACACAGCCCCACGTCCAGGCAAGCATCTCCAAAGAAGGAAGCGAGGCCACTTCACTGCCTCTCATGGCCTCACCCACCTCCCCTGCCCCACGGCCCCAAGACTCCCAGGGCCCGCCTCAGCTCTCTCCACCTCTCCACCTCTTCAGGCAGACCCTTCCCCGCACCCACATCTCCACCCCCACCACACAGCCCCAGGACTCACATGGCCCACTGCAATTTCTCATTCTTGATGGAGCTGTACAGAGCCTGGGGAGGGAAGAACAAAGCAGGGCAGTGTGGGTCAATCCTGGAGGAAGGGGCGTTATGTACCCCAATGCCAGAGCTCAGAGCCCTCCCCCCCATAAGCGGGAGAAGGCAGAACTGAGGGGGAGGGCAGTAGGGAGGAACAACCAGGAAGGCAGGCTCTGGAACAGAGCTCTAGAACCCGGGCCCAGCGTGGCCGCTCTCGCTGGGTTGCTCTAACGCGTCTCCCTGGGGAAGGGCACGGTGCCACGTGTTCACTGAAGGGAAAGCCGTTGGCACTGGGCATCCTCACGTGTGACTGAGGCACAAGTAATGGCAACGGCTAATATTATCTTTGCTGTTGTTTTGCTAAGAGGCCATCCTGCTCGGATCCTCGGTGTGAGAAACACAGCTCTGGAGGAAATGGAAAGCAGTAATTCAAGAAGCTCTCCTTTTCCCAAACGGCCATGCTCTGGGCCCGTTTTACAGCCTAAGGCCACACAGAGCATACGGGGAAACTGAGTCCCCAGAGTGGGAACACACGGTCACTTCCTTCCGTGGCTAATGAGAACATACCCTGATGGCTCCCAAGCCCAGGATAAGCTGAAACCATCCCCAACCCAGACTGCCCCACCAAGCCGCATGCCAGAGTGGCCACTTCCTGTCGCCAGGGAGTGACCACTGGTTTAAAAGGCAGCACACCTCCACCTCCCTGTGGGTTTCCCAAACAGTCGCTTTCCTTCAGCACAGCTGCCCTGGGGGACCTGTGGGGACTTCGTGGTGGGGGAAGGAGAGAATGGGCTGGAGGAGTAGCATAGGGGACCCCTCTTCTCAGGAGAGGCCTGCAACACAGGTCCACACTAGGGCCTCCGCTGTGGGGGTGCTTCCCACAGCATGTCTGTGAATAGGTGTGTCCCCAGCATGCGTGTGTCAGGCGGAGAGTGTGATGCTGTTTGTGTGTGAGCTGGGTGCAGCGGGGACATAGGCTACCCCCAACACACCAAGACCTCTGCCTCTCACTGCCCACGGCCACGCAAAACAGCCTCTGTGAGCACACCCTGCCCGGCGCCGAGTACACCCCACAGCCTCCACCTCACACACAGCACAGCCAGGCTTATGCACACACAGCTTCGCAGCCCACACCCAGCCCACACCCAGCAGAGCTTGGACCCGAAGCCTTCCCTCTCCAACTCTCTGGCCTGGAGGCTGAAGTGGCCACCGCCATCCAACCCGCAATCCTGGTCCCCAGCCTTCCAGTTCATCCCCTGCCCCCAACCACATCTTCCTCCCCAAGTCCTGAACCCCATCCGTGCGCCCTCAGTCATGCGCCCATCTAGAAGACCCAGACAGAGGCCCTTTCGCTTGAGGTGTCCATCTTGACCAGAGGGTCTGCGCTCTTCCCCCTCCAGTCCATGCCCATCCCAGGCCCCTCTGTCCCTGCCGGGCCCCCTGCCTCGGCCCCGCCGGCGTCCACCTCTGCTCGCTCTGCCCAAGGCGCCTCCCTCCAGCCGCCCGCGCCGCCCTCGCAGCCCCCGAGCCGCCCGCAGCCCGGCGGGGCGCAGCCCGGCCTCACCGCCTTCTTCTTCCTGCGGCCCTGCAGGCGGCTGACCACCAGGTCGGTGTAGAGCACGGGCCGGAGGCTGCGCGAGCGCGGCGGCCACCCGTAGCACAGCGTCTCGGCGCCGCGGTGGGAGCGCCCGTAGCGCACGGAGCACAGCGAGCGCGAGCGCAGCCGCCCGGCGCTGCTGTGGATGCTGTTGACGCCGATCATCCTGGCCCGGCCGCGCGGCCCCCGGCCATGCCCCCGCCCGCCCCGCCCCGGGCAGCCCGTGGACGGCTCCCCGACAGCACAGCCCGCGAGGCCCGCCGCTCCCTCCGACGCAGCACCGACCGCGCGGCGGCGGCAATGTCGGCTCCGCGGCTCCGTAAGCGGGAGGGGGCGCCGGCTGGGAGGGAGGGGAGAGAGGGGAGGGCGAGGGCCGGGGCGGGGACGCCGCAAAATGGAGGCGTCTGGCCGAGGGGCGGCCCCCAGCCGCGCGCCGCCGCGGGGAGGAGCCCAGGGAGGCCCGGGAGCACCCCCGCGTGGGGGCGGCAGCTCTGGGGCGACGCGGGTGGGGGGCGCTGGGAGCCTCTAGCCGGGAGCTGGGAAGGTGGGCGGACCGACCCTGTGGGTCTAGAACTCCCTCCAAAGCGAGTCAGAGTTGGGGAGTGGGGGGTAGGGGAGGGGGGTGGTGGAGGGGGGGTGGGGGGCGTGGTGGTGAGCAGAGGGGGTCGGAGCGCCCCCTGGCGGCCCCTTTTTGCCAAGCCGGGATCTGGACGAGGCCGGCGAGACAGAGGCTGCAGCCTTGGAATCGCGCTGGCCTCCTCCCACGCAACGACTCGCAGACACCTCACACGCCGTGTGTACACTCCAGCTCAGGTGCACACTCCCCGGTGTGCAGACACACGCCTCAACTAGCCACATGCACCAGTTCACATTCACCTCAACTCACGGACACACGTCCTGAATCAGACACTGATTCACAGATGTACCTCCCAACCACGGAAAGAACAAACGACACTTCCAATCAAACACACGCTCTTAAGCTCTACTGCACAGCCATACCCAAATCAGACACACCCATCGCTTCACCGACACCCTAGGTCATACATATACAGCTCAATTCAAGCATCCCCCCGACTCCCAATGGACACCCCCACTCAGATACATTCCCAAACTCGGAAGTCCAGCACAAGCCCCATCACTCAACAGACAAGCTCACAGACAAGCCCAAGGACACTCCTGTGCACTCACATTTATGGGGTGGCCCGGGGACCCCTTTGCCCACCTTGGGGGTTTCTTGGATGAGACTTCACCAATCAGGGGGCGGAGGGAACCCACGGGCTGGATGCCCCTCTTCCTCCCATCCTGCCAGCCCCAGGTCACAAACCCCTCCAGGGCCTGGGCGCAGGCCAGCCCAGCAGGAGCCAGGAGCCCAGCATGGGATCTAGCTCCAGTTCGGCGCTAACACTCGGCCAGAACTTGGAAAAGCCTGTGTCCCTCTCAGGCCCCGCTACCTCCCGGTGCCTCCGGTGCCCCCCCTCCTGGTGCCTCCGGTGCGGCGGTACCGGGATGACCTTTGTGACTCTGAACCCTGGGCCCTGGGAGTGAGGCGGAGGAGGAAGCGGTATGCCGGGGTGACCCCCACCCCACGCAGGGGGGCCCCCCCCCGCCATCCTCGGGGGCACTAATGCAGACAAATGCGGGGTCCAGGGCCGCCAGATCACGCGGTTTCAGAGCTCCCCTCCCCCCGCAGTGCGCAGCCCGGGCTGCACGGCCAGTGCGCATGTTCCGGGAGCCCGTCTGGGAGGAGGGGGGCGGGGGGGGGCGGTACCCAGACTGAGTCTAAGGCGTCTAGGCTCTCCCGGCAGGGCCCCTCACCTTGCCTTTCTCGTACACCCGCCGACAGGCCCCTTATCCCCCCCCTCCCCCCCCCCCCCCGCTCCCCGTGCCCCGCCCCGCCCCCACCTTGAGCAGCTCCCTGGGGAAGTCGCCGCCTTCGTTGAGGCCCTCCAGGTTCCCAATGAAGTCTCCGCAGGTCATGCGCTTCCCGATGTTCTAAGGGAGGGAGCAGAGGCCTGTGAACCTGGGTGGCCCTTGGCCCTCCGGGCCTCGGAGTCTTGGACAGGGTCTTGTTTTCCCGCTCCTTCCCGCCACACCCCACTCACGTGGCCATGGAGGTCGGTGTTGAGAAGCATGAGGGCGCAGGTCAGCGTGTGCGCGCCGTCTAGGGCAGAGTCGGCATTCAGCCTCCCTGGGACTCTTCCCGCAGCGCACTTACTCAGCCTTCCAGCTCACCCCCTGCCCCGTTCCGGGACCCCTTTGGCCCACAAGCACACTTTTTGTAAATCCTGAAGCCACTAGGGAGCCAAACCTCGGCAAAGATTTCTCTTCTCCAGCAGATCCCTTTGGAGGGACCTCACCCCTTTCTAACACCCATGTGCCTGTGTCTCTGCATGAGACACAAACAAGTGTGCCTCACACACGTACGTGGACCAGTGCAGCCAAACAGAATCCCCGCTCAAGCCAAGCGCTGTTCTGCACACATATGTGGACAATGGTATGCAAACACACCTGTCACCTGCCTCTCCACAACACACACTAGGCCCTAACAACAGGCCTGCCCACATGCACGGTTCCACATCCATGTAGCCACGTCTGCGTTGTCTGCACACACGTATGTGCTCCCATGCCTGCAAGCTTGTGCATTTGTTCGCTCCTGCACACACACTCATGCTCCCAGGCACACATGCAGCGTCCGTTTGCCAGGAGAGCCCTGCCCCTGGCCTCCTCACCCTCTGAGGACAGAGCTCCGGGATTGCACTGGAAGTATCTCTGGGAGAAGTGAGCCAGCACGCGCTCCCGTTCCTGGGTCTCGCCCATTAGGGCCAGCTCCTTCAGAAACACCCTGGAGAGGAGGGAAGAAGGAGCATGTCACCCCGCCCCCGCCCAAGGTCCCCTCACCAGGGAGCCCTGGCTCTTGGGAAGGGTGTGGTCAGGGCAGCTCAGGGGAAGTCTGGGGGCTCAGAGGAGGCGTAGCGAAGGCCCTGCACACCAGGCCTGGAGAGTTGGGCTGCACTCAGAGGGCTCAACACCCACCTGAGAGCTTGGTCCAGAGTCATGCCCGTGAAGACAAAGAACTTGAGGTACTCTCCAGCCACGAGCTTACTGAAGTCATTGCTGTGGGCAGGGCAGAGAGACAGGTAGAATCTCAAGGGGAAGTGTCAGGGGGGCAGATGAGGGGTTGCCGAGCAACCTGGGGCCTTAGATAGAGGGGACGCAACCCTCCTTCCCCCTTCTCGGCCCCAGCCCAGAGGCTTTACTTCTTGCCCAGGTGCCGGGCCACATCGGCCTTCCGGAAGCCGTCTAGCCGGTACAGCCTCTTAGCCAGGCGCTGCGCAGCCTCCAGGTCTGCTTTCTGCCCGTTAGACAAGGTGTCCGTGCTTCCCAGGGCTAGCCGCTCGGTGCTGTCCAGCTCTGAGTCTGAGTCAGATACCAGCTGGCTCAAGGGTGGTTCGCTGCCAGGGTAGAACACCAGCCAGCTCAGAGGTGGGGCAGGTTCCCAGGGCCATCCACACCCTCCCTCTGCCTCCGGAGCAGGGTGACAGCAGGGGGACTGGGACGTGGGGAAGGCATTTCCTTTTCTCCAGAGGGGATTTTGTTCAGGTTCCCCCCATCATCACCACCTCTCTGCGGAAAGTCCTGCCTCAAGTCTAACCCACACCCATTTTGCTGCTGTGGGCACTCCTCCCAAGGAAGGAGAAGATGAGGCTACAAGCTGCCATGAGGTGTGAGACAGGAGGAAAGCCCCACCACACCCCCCATCCTCCCACAAAGCTCCCTCAGTTTGCTGTGGCACCTAGATTCCCCATCATCACTGCTCCTTCTCAGAACATAGACTTATCTCTCTAAGAATATGGGCAAGGTTAACACAGGCTGTCAGGGAAGAACAGTAGACGGTCAAACATTTGAGGGCAACAGGGACAGCTTCCCACTCCTATATCCTTCCTCCTCCCACCCTTTAGGGAGAGGATCCTCCTCCTTAGTCCTTCTACTCACAAAGAAGCAGGTTCTGGGGTAAAGGGGACTGTGGGTCAAAGTGCCCCCCCTTATCTCCCGTCTCGTCTCCTCCTCTCCTTCCCTTCCCTTCCCTTCCCACCCCAGCTGCTCTACTTGCAAAGCCACCTGTCACCCAGAGACAGAGGCCGGAAACTCCTGGTTGCTAGGCAACCCTGTATCTCTGGCCACCCCCTCCTGTTGCCATGGCTTCCATGACTGAGAGGGTAGCTGGCAGAGGAGAGAGCAGAGAGGTTAGACTGATGAATGGACTTCCTGGATAAGGGCGAGAGACTCCTGGTTGGAGAGGGAGGTACATGGGAGGGAAGCGAGGGGAGAGACCGATGGCTGCATCTTTGGAAGAAGCCTCAGGCTGGATGGGTGTTAGGTCACAAGAATTCTCGGCAGGTTGCAGGCTCTGCCTGGGAACGGAGGGGACATCCTTCAACGCTGAATCGTGGTTTCTCAAGTCACTGAATTTGAGACCAAGGGGGGGGGGGCACTAAGGGGCTCCCCCTCACAGTCAGTGGAAAGTCCTCCAAGTGGGACACAGGCATCTGCATTCCTTAACCGGCCTATCAGGAATATGAACTCCATCCTCACACTCAGGCTCTGTCCCTTCGAACAGCTGTTCCGAGAGCCCTCAGGGCCTTGAATCTAAAAAACCAAAGAGGTCACTCACCTTCCCAGGGGTGCTACCCCCAGCCCAAAGCTGTCCTCTGAGCGGCAGGGACTAGGGGGCTCCTTCCCTGGGGCTTGCTTGGCTGCAGCCTCTGCCTCTTCTTCCTCCCCTCTCCGTGTCCAAGGCCCATCAGCAGCAGAGCTGGTACCAGAATCAGGTTCGAGAGGGGCAAGTGGGGCGGGAACGGGGGGATCAGGCCGGGGGATGGGGGACTGGGGAGGCAGCTCAAAGGTGAAGAAGGGGCTCTGTGTTGGGCCAGGTGAGGCCAGGGCCTCCAGTGAGGCAAGGCTGGTGTAGGAGGTGCCCTTGGCCCGGTGTGACTCCAAGATGGCTTCAAACACACAACTGAACGAGTCAGGCCCGTCAGCCGAGGGGCTGGTCCCAGGTAGAAAGGGCACAGGTGACTTGAGAGGCCCCAGGTGAGGCATCTGGGTGCCTGGCCTGCAGGGGCAGGTAAAATCTCTGATCAGGGCCCCAGAGGACAACTCTCAGGCAGCATTTCATTGAACTTTCATACTGACTCTATAAAGAGGTTTATCATCTTCTTTTCACAGTCCCCCAAACCCCTTAAAAAAAACCACAACAGGTCCTTCAAGCTATTTAGTGCCTTGGGGCGCACCATCCCTATCCATCCCCAGCACCCAATCCTCTTCCTCTCTCCCTCCCCGCTAATCTCCCTTTCTCCTCCTTCTCCCTGATCCTCTCCCCTCCTGCCATCCCATTTCTATTTCTGGCAACATCTTAGGAGAAGAAGATGAGGCTCCAGGCTACAGTGGGATGTGAGATGAAGGGAAAAACCCCAAACTCCCCATGTTTCTGCCAAGATCCAGGATATGGGTTGATGCTCCCACACCCCCAGGCTTAATTCTGGCCTCTGGACTCTCACTCAGCCCTTTCTTTCCCAGAACCCCTTTCCTCCTCTACCCTGGTTACCCCCTATCCTCCTGGGATCTTGCTGATGCCCCCACATTCCAGTATCCTGCCAGGCCTCAGGCCTCTGTCCAGAGTCTCCTGCCACACCCTGCCGGTGGCACCACCAGCTTGGTCCTGGCACTCCCAACCCCCCCTTCGTCTCTATTCCAGTCCCATTGCCCCCAGCTCTGCCTCTGGACCAGTGGGAAGGAGCAAGCCACTTTCCTCGCCCTCTCCCCCACTCACCGTGCCCCCTCCAAGGCCTCAAACACCTCATCGTCCACATCCTCTTCCCCGCCTGCCTCATCCTCATCGCCACTGCTCAGGCTGGCATGAGGGCCAGGGCCCGGGCCAGGACGTGGGGCAGGTGGGCGGACGGCGCCAGGCAGGCCCTCGGAGCTGGGCTGGCTCTCGATGGCCGAATCAGCCTCTTCCCGCTCAGCCAGCACTTCATCGATGTTGGTCTCTCGGTAGCACCTCAGGGGCACCGTGTCCAGGTCGGTCTCGGAGTATTTGGCCGCTCGCCCCACAGCCACCCCAGAGCCCTGCCCTGAGCCCACCCCAGGTGGAGATGGGGGGGGCTGCTCTGGGGGCTTAGCACCTGCAGTGTGCACAGGCATCCGGGTCAGGAGGTTATCCGGGTCAGCTCCCCGCCCTCACTCTGTTCTAGGAAGGAAATCATCCCCCAGGCCTCCTATTGGCAGGAAGTTCTTTCGCTATCTCACCACCATTCCTCCTGCCACAGACTCAGCTTGTTCCTGGGCCCGGCGGAGTTCATTTTCTACTCCAAGGACTGATCCTTGATATCCTGCCATCCTCTCCTTCCACTACCCAGCTGCCTGCAGTGCCCAACCCAGCCATCAGCCCCAACCCCTGCATCCTAGCATATGTGGGAAGACTGATGCCCGAGGCAGCACTAGCTGATGCCGGAGTCCAGAGAGGCCTGGGGGAGGTGTAAAGGACTCCCTGTGCCTCGGCTCCGGGAAGGCCCTGCCCTGTTCCCCCTGCTCCAGGCCCAGGCCTTACCTGAGCTGGGGGGTGCCAAGGAGCCATAGAAGAATTCCCATTTGGCTCGAGCGATTCTCTGGGCATGAGAGGAGACTTCCCAGGGCGAGGACCAGGTGTCTCCCTAAGCCAAGGAGGGAGAGACAGAGGACACCCGGAGATGAAGCCAGACACACAAAGACAAAAGAACATGGGATAGAAACACAAAGAAAAACCCTCAGGGACAGATGGAGGTGCAGAGACAGAGGGACAACCCAGAGGGCAAGAAAAATAGGAGTGAATGAGGCCAAAACGGCCAAGGAGCCAAGTCTTGCCCCCTCCACAGGACCTGGGGTTCCAGGGAGCTCGAGGGAGGTCGCATACCTTGTTCAGGAGTCCAGTGTCAGCAGGTCCGCGGAATAGCGTGGCCAGGTGCTCAGAGGGCCCCCCCAGCCCATTGGGGAGGGAGGAATAAAGGCCATCGGCCCCAGCCTGGGGTGGGGCTGGCGGCCCGCGTAAAAGGCCCTGGCGGCCGGGCAGAGCGGCACCTCCCCCGGCCGGGAGTGGGTCTGACGTGGATGCCTCCAGCCGCAACTTGCGGTCTGTGCCAGGCCCGAGAGCTGGAGCGGGCCTGGGAGGAGGGACCCCACCCAGGTCCCAGCTCCGACTCAAGCCTCCGGGGGCAGGTAGCCCATTCAGCGGCCTCACGCTGGCCTTCTCCACAAAGCGGAATATGACTACGGAGCTCCTGGCCCCTCGTGGAGGCTTCCCCGTGGGTGAGGAGGGTGCCCAGGGTGAGGGAGCAACACGGGGTGAAGGGGGGCCACGCAGGGGTGTGGAGGGTGCTGTCACACGTCCCAGGTCCCGGCCTCGGGGACCTGGACCGGCCACCCGCCGTAGCAGGGAGCCTGTGCTGCCGTACATGCTGGCCGGGGGACTCTGAGGCACGGGACCTTCGGGAAGCCAGCGGCGTGGGCATCGTGGCGGGGAGATGGCGCAGTCGCCTTCAGAGCAGAAGCGCATGGCACCCTGGGCCATGCTGGGGCCCGGGGGTCAGGCTGGGGGGGCAGGGATGGCGAGGCCAGGCGGGGAGTGAGGGGGCAGCATGCTCTTCGGACAGGCCTGCAAGAGAGGAAGGGGAGCAGGGGGTCAATTGCCAGGGAGTTGGATGGAGGAGAGCGGAGACAGGAAGGGGAAAGCTGGCTGGGGCCATGAGCACCAGGGGCCTCGCCCACCCTGGGACCATGGCATCATGGATCCCTCCCCTGCGGGTGACCAGGCTTCCTGTTTGGGCTCCTTCCATGGAGGCCTGAGGAGAAAAGATTGTTCCCTCCAAAAGCACCCTGGATTCCCTCCTTATGGCTGGGGACCCTGAGCATCACCCCTGGGGGGGAGAAAGGAAGCTATGTTGGAAGGAAGGAAGGAAGTTGAGAGAGCCTGGAGTCTTGGTGGCATTTTGTAGCTATTTCTGGTGTGGGGGGAGGGGAAGACTGGTACCCCCACCCTCTGAACTGGGAGTGTCAGCCAGCCATCACTATCATGCAGCCATGAGTGCCCTACAATTAGTTCCTTTTATTGAGGCCCCAATTCAGGCCCCCAGGAAAAAGGGGAAAGAAGAATTGGAGAAGGGGGATCCTATAAGAACCACCAGGAGCTGAAAGGCATAGGGTGAAGGAGAAGAAAAAGGCCTGAATAGGAGCCGCTACCCCTCATACATACATGATGGATGGGAAAGGGACATTTTTGTTCTTAATAGGTACGCACACTCATGCACACACACATACACTTAAGGACCGATGTGTCATATACAGTTAAACACAGGCAGAGGCTACACGCAGACAGGCACACATACACATTGCTCAAAGACACACCCTCACACACTCTCACAGTCATAACAACTATGTGTATAATGGAAAGGCACATGCCTGTTTTACACACACTGTCATCACACAGGCACACACAAAGAGACACCCACATGTACCCAGAGGGACCCTCATTCTCTAACGCTCACAGACACATAGGCATGTCAGCTACAGAGACCTACTGGTCACAATACACACAAATACAGATGCACACTCACACCCATACTTGAGCAGGGACACACACCCTCTCTCCCAACCCCCACCAGTCAGTGGTCCCGGGAGGGGGAGACTGCACCAGACGCTTCTCCCCCCAGGGGTGGCAGATTTTCTCGGGCCCAGGAGAGGCCATAAAGAGGTAACGGGGCCTCTTGTGGCAATGCAGGGGAGGGACCCAGGTCAGGAGCAGCACCCCTGCTACTCAGGTTCCTGAAACTCAACTGAGGCCCAACATACCACCACCCCCCCCTGCAACCCGGACTCAGTACTCACCGCCGGTAGCCTGGAGCTGAGGCCAAGGAGAGGGAGGGGAGGCTGGGCCCAGCTCCGCGGTGAAAGCAGCGCGCGGCTCCCGCTGGCTCCCGCTTTCTCCAGGCCCGCCCGCCCGCCTCTGCCTCTCAGTCCCTCCTCCTCCTCCCTACGTGGCTCCGGCAGAGCTAATCTTACCCCCCTCCCAACCCCCGCCCTCTCCCAGGGCCTGAGCCCCGGAGGCTGCTCCCCCTTCCCCCTCCACACACAGGTTAGGTCTTGGTTGGACTCTCCCGCCAACCGGAGACCCGCCCCTGCCGAAGGGGAGGATGCATGGAACCCCTTTACCTTCCTCGACCCTCACGTGCCCCACCCCAATTGTGTCCACGTTCCTCTCGCCCACTGCCCCCCTGAGCCACACGCGGGACCACGCTCCACACGCGTGTCCCGCTCCAGACCTCACGCGTGTCCCCGGGAGGCCGCCACATGACCTGTTACATGCCACTCGCGCTCCCGCCCCCACGAGCCCGCGGCCGCGCCAAGCACACGGGCCCGCCCCCTACACCCAGGAGGCCATCAATGCGTGGAGGGGAGACTTAGGGTCCCCCGCCTCAAAGCCCCCGGGGTTCGCAGCCTCAGACCTGGGAGACACAGCCCTGGCCACTCGCCCGGGACGCAGGAGGAGGTGTATTAGTCAGACCTCAGGAAGAACGTCCCTGATGCCTGAGTGAGGCGCCCATTTACATAAGATAAGAGGTTCGAAGGGATGACGCCGGGACTGAAGGTAACGGGGGGGGGGGGGGGGGGCGGGGAGACACACACAGGCAACCCTTGTGCCCTTGGCCAAGGTAAAAGGGGGGGGCCTATCTATTTTTAAGTAAGCGCCGCTAGAGTTGCTATGGCAACTGCTCTCCTAGCGAAAGCCAGGGCCTGCAGACGGTGACCTCGGAGAGGAGAGGGGGTCTGTTTGGGTGGTCGGGGGCGCGAGGACGTGCGAGGCGGGGACGCGCGGGGCTCACCGCGGGGAGGGCGGCGCGGGCTCCGCGTGGTGCTGAAGGGGACAGCGCCAGATTTGTCGCACTGCGCAGGCGCACAGGCGCTCACAAAGCGGGGAGCGGCGGCGGCGGCGCGCGGCCGGAGGGGGTGCGCGCCCACGTGGCTCTATTTGAGCAGCGGGGGGTCCTTCCAGCGGTGGCCTCCCCCGAGCAGGCCGAGGAAGAAGTCAGTCCTCTCCCAAGCTGACCCTCTTTGATCCTTCCCCTCTGCTGGCTTCTCTGTCCTCACTGCATTGGGAGATGAAGGAATGTGGAAAGAATTCTGAGAAACCCAGGATGCTTTAGTTCTTCTTTTTTTAAAATATATTTTTATTGATTTATTTACAGAGAGGGAGAGAGAGGGATAGAGAGCCAGAAACATCGATGAGAGAGAATCATCGATCAGCTGCCTCCTGCACACCCCACACTGGGGATGTGCCTGCAACCAAGGCACATGCCCCTGATCGGAATCAAACCTGGGATCCGTCAGTCCGCAGGCCGACGCTCTATCCACTGAGCCAAACCGGTTTCTGCGATGCTTTAGTTCTTTATCCCGGGTTCGCTCGACCCTGGACAAGGCGCTTCCTCCCCAGGGCCTTGGTTTCATCTTTAAAATGGAGTGACAGCACAGACTTGCCCACTTTGCAAAGGTGCCGGAAGCCCTGATGAGATAATGGATGGGAAGTAACCCAGCTGGGGAACAGCTTTCAGGGACACCAGTAGCTCTCGGAGCCACTCACACCCTTACCGCCAATGGGTGATGGGAAAGCATTGCTCCAGGAGTTCCCGGGCGGACCCTGGAACTTGGACCTGGGACGCCCTGAGAGGGCAGCTTAGAGTCTGAGGCCCGAGCTCAAGGGCGTCAGTGCGCGAGGGTAGTCCAGACCCAGACCCACCATGAAACCCCCAACCGGGAAGCACTACTTCTGGCGGCTGAGCTGAGCATGCATTCTTCTAAGGACTTTAAACCTCCTAGGGAAGGAAAGGGGCTGCTGGAGATGTAGTTCTTTTTATTTTATTTTATTTTATTTTATTTTATTTTATTTTTTATTTCAGAGAGGAAAGGAGAGGGAGAGGAACATGATGAGGATGAATCATTGATCCTCTGCCTCCTGCACGCCCCACACTGGGGATCAAGCCCTGACCTCCTGGTTCATAGGTACGTGCTCAACCACTGAGCCACGCTGGCCAGGCGAGATGTAGTCCTTCTTAATGCGCCTACGTCACTTCCCTAAGGTGTAAACCCGTTCCAAATCGTCCGGGAGTGGAAGGGGTTGGATAGCTCAGTACTTCATAATTAACCAGGAACATGAGGTTTGGGCAAATTGCTTGATGAAGAAAGAAAAAAAAAATTAGCTTCACTTATTCAATTCATTATACAATTATTGAGCACCTACTACTAAGAGACTAAATAGTTTCTTCCCATTTTTTAAAGTCCCTAAAAGCAACCAGAGGGCAAAGGGTAAACCCAGAACCTTGGAATTCTGGCTCTGCCCCTTCTGCGTTTGGCCTTGCTTGCTCCTCCCTTCAACACTTCACTCAAAATCATCCACTGGCCCAAAGCAATAAAGGAAGCCAGTCTCTGCAGCAGCATCACGTTCTTTAGACTCGGGCTTCAAGCCCTATAGCGGAGAAGGCGAGATGTAATGTTGCAGGACAGGTCTGTTCCGCCCTCCGTTTCCGTATCCCTAACGCTTTCAGAGGGGATCCTCAGTGAGACGGCAATCGATTGAATTGGTCTGTCACTACAGCCCTAGGAGGCGGGTTCGCGATTGCTGTTCCTGAGCCAAAGCGAGAAGACCTTACTGCACACGCGCAGTAGACAGCCGAAGGAGCCACCGATGGAGCCGTCCGGAAGGGAGCAAGAGCCGGGAGCCGTCAGGTACCTAGCACCGAAGGGGCCGCGAGAGTGAAGAAGGACCTGAGGGAGAGGAGTTGACCGGGACCTGGCCTCGGGGCCGCTCAGAAGCCAGGGCGCAGGAGCTTAACGGAGGCGGACTCGCAGGTAACCGGTCCGGGCCGCCGCCGCCGCCAACGCCCTTTTACCCGCAGGCTCCTGGACCTGCCCTGGGAAGACGTGCTGCTCCCACACGTCCTGAGCCGGGTCCCGCTGTGCCAGCTGCTCCGGCTGCAGCGCGTCAGCCGCGCCTTCCGGGCCCTGGTGCAGCTGCACCTGGCGGGGCTGCGCCGCTTCGACGCCGCTCAGGTGAGCCGGGGTGCGGTGGGGGGAAAGCCGGGGACAGAGCTCCGCCCCCATCTGGGTACCGCCCTCGCCTTGTCTCCAGCCCAGTTCCCGGTTCCTGCCTACCCTTCCAGACCCGCTTAGCCCTCCAGCGGCGCCCTGGAAGGGATCCGCCTGCGGGAAGTACTCTCAAAGGGCGAGTACCGGGTATCAGCTCAAAGGGCGCGTGGGGCGTGGGGTCTCTCCTGGGAGGGCAGGTGGCAAGCCCCAGAGGGCAGGCTGCTGCCAGGAAAGAACTCATCTGGGGCGAATAGGCAGCGCCAGTCCCACCCCCCGCACCAGCTGAAGGTCGAGGTGCCTTCCTGCCTGCAGGTGGGTCCGCAGATCCCGCGGGCCGCACTGGCCTGGCTGCTGCGGGACGCCGAGAGGCTGCAGGAGCTGGCGCTGGCGCCGTGTCACGAATGGTTGTCGGACGAGGACCTGGTTCCCGTGCTGGCGCGGAACCCGCAGCTGCGGAGCGTGGCGCTGGCCGGCTGCGGGCAATTGAGCCGCCGCACGCTGGGGGCGCTGGCCGCGGGCTGCCCGCGGCTGCAGCGCCTGTCGCTGGCGCATTGTGACTGGGTGGACGGGCTGGCACTGCGCGGTCTCGCCGACCGCTGTCCGGCCCTGGAGGAGCTGGACCTCACCGCCTGCCGTCAGATCAAGGACGAGGCCATCGTGTACCTGGCGCAGAGGCGCGGTGCAGGGCTCCGAAGCCTCTCTCTGGCGGTCAACGCCAACGTGGGGGACACGGCCGTCCAAGAGTTGGCTCGAAACTGCCCAGAACTCGAGCACCTCGACCTGACGGGCTGCCTCCGCGTTGGAAGCGACGGTGTCAGGTGCCTGGGCCCGGGATCAGTGGGATGGGAGGAGGGCAATCAGCCTCTAAGAGTAGAGTTGGGCAGTAATCCAAAGGCAGAACTGGGGTTTCTGCTACCACGGCACCCCCATTCTGAACAGGAAAGGCCCCTGGGATTATCTAGATCTGAGAGCCCACAGTTTAGAAACTTTATTGAACCAGTATCCACACAGTTTTCACCTACATCGATTTCTGGCTTTTCTTCAACCAGGGGAGCTGAGGAGCAGTAACCCTTTTAAGAGACAGGAAATCTCCAGTTCACTGGAGGCATTAAGTATATGACCCCGATCCAGGCCCCCTTTGTGTGTGGAAGCAAAAAGTATGCCCCGAGATAGTGGGATACATAGAGGCATTGCTGGATCGACCCACCCTGGGTGTAGCCATTTCGCGCCCTCGGCCTCACCCCGCACCTCCCCTAGGACTTTGGCGGAATACTGCCCTGCGCTGCGCTCACTGCGAGTGCGGCACTGCCACCACGTGGCCGAGCCCAGCCTGAGCCGCCTGCGGAAGCGCGGCGTGGACATCGACGTGGAACCGCCGCTGCATCAGGCTCTGGTGCTGCTGCAGGACATGGCGGGCTTTGCACCCTTTATCAACCTGCAGGTCTGACCCTCCCGCTGACGAGGCACAGCTGGACTGTGTGTCCCGGCCTATGAACTGTAGGAAACTGGACTGTGTGGGCCTCTGCGGAGAGGCCAGTGCCCCACCCCACTCTGGAGCTTCAAATAAAGAGCTTTCCACCCCCTCCTGACTGGCGCGGCCCTGTTGGAGAAAGGGGACAGGAGGTTGGAAGAGAAAGTCAGACAGACACAGTCCCCCGGCACCCCAGCTCTGGGGCAGGAATGACCAGAGTGCACTCATCTTCTTGGGGCTACCTTTACTGTGCCCGGGGGCAGCTCCGAGAAGGTAACATGGTGGAGAAAGGAGGTAAGAGAAGGGGTCAGGAGTTCGGGTGGGCCCTGCTGGTGGTAGGGCTTCTGCATCCCTCCGGCAGAGTCTGGCGGACGACTCAGTGGAAGCGGTATTTTCTGGCCGGCTTGAGGTTGATGTAGGTGGCCTTCATCTCCTCGGCCTCAGGGTTCCGCACATCTTTGAATCGCTCCCCCTTGGTGCTCACCACCTGGTTGTCGATGTATCGGATCAACTTTTTGGGGGCCTGTCGGGCAATCAGTTAGTGAGTGGCAGAAGCCAAGAGGAAGTCTCACCCGCTCCACACCCCCCGCAGCCCTCTCTCTCACCTCCTTGGGAGCCATGGGCCGGTGAATCTTCTGATCCTCTGCACTGTCCACCATCATGTACCTGCCAAAAACGGGCTGGGTGAGGCTCCTGCCCCCCCCCTGAGAAAACCCTTTAAAAGCCCAGCCCAGCCCAGACTCACTTCTGCAGGATGAAGGACTTCAGGTCATCCTTTTGGGGGCCTCTGAGGCGCCTGGATAGGTCCTGCAGGGGGGAAAGCCTGGTCTAGACCCTAGGTCACCAATAAGAGGAGCATATGGTGATAGGCCAGGGGTGGGGGCTTAACACTGAGGAGGAATGTGGCTGGGGCTCCATGGGTGAGGGAGGGTATGGCTGAGGATACCTGGTTGGGGCCATCCCAGGCTGGAGGCTCCTCCTTCCCCTCTACCAGCATCTGCACGGCTTCTTCCAAGTCCCCCCGAGCTTTGGCCAGCACCCACTGGGCCTGCTCCATTGAACAGGCAGGGAACACCTCCAGGAGTACATCCACCCCTGACAGCAGCTCTTCCTCAGCACTGGCTGCCTGTGGGCATAAGTGTTGACAAAAGGCAGGACTTCCTCCTTTTCTGCCCCTAACCCCCTCACTGGTACTCTCCTCTACCAACCTCATCTTGAGTATCCCCAGCAGCAGGAGAAGCCCTAGTCTCTTCTTTGAGCTTTTCAGGCCGCTGCAGGGGCTCTGGGGAGATGGGCACGTGACCTTGGACCTCAGAACTCTGTGGTTGCAGGTTCTCTGAAAGAGGCAGAGAGAGCACCGGGTTTGCCAGGTCTTTGGGGAAGGGGGCCATAAGTCATCCAAGTGCCTGCTCCCCAGACTCACCTTTGTTCCTGGCACCACTTAACTGCACTGAGAGCTTCTGCATCATGTCCCCTATCGTACCCCTGAAAAGACAGTGAGGGTGGTAAGAAGGAAGACGGCTCTGCCTACCCTCCACAATCAGCCAGCACCCCTCCTCTTGGCCCCAGGCAGACCCCACCTTGGGATATGGGCGAAGCCAGGCACATAGGCCTCCATCATCTCAGTGAAAGCCTCCATATCGAAGTTCTCCTCTGATGGACCTGAGGGGCCCAAGTCCTCCAGGACCCCGAGCACATAGGAGAAGATGACCTCATCCAGGCCGCTGCAGGAAGGGGACAAGACAACCGCGGGTAAAGCACTGGATACTCCCACATTCCCATCCACCCCAAGGCTCCAGCCCTCGCCTTCAGGGGCCCATGAGCCAGACCTCAAGCCTTGAGGCCAGAGAATATTCCACCCTCCCTCCCTCAGGGCTCTGGTTTCCCGTTTGTCCAACTAATGGGACGAGGACAGGATAAGACGTAAGGCCGAACCACAAAATCATAATCAGCCCTCCCCCACCTCAGGGATAGGGCCCAGTGTTCCCATCTGGGCCAAGGCCCAGATGCTGCGACCCTGGCCCGAGCACGGTTCTAGGAGAGCTGCTTCTACCTGAGGTCAGCCTCTGGGAGGTGCGCCTGGACAAAGGCAACGAGGGCCGCACTGACGATCCCCTCCAGCTCCATTCTCTCTCCTCTTCTGAAAGGACACGGATGTAGGTTTATCAGGCCCTCCTCCTGCCTCCCCCTGCTCACTAGGCCCAGGGGCAGCCAGCTCCTCCCTCCTGTCCTGTGGAAACCATTTGTTAATGCTGCCCACAGCTTCTAGCTCTCAACCCTCCCCCGCACTCCCAACAGAGCCAAGCCCTCTCCCTGCCCATCTCTCCGCCTCCTCCAGCCTGAGACAGGGCGGGCACTGTGGCAGGAGAAGGCTTCCAGAATGGCAGTTCCCCTCACCCCTCCTGATTACCTCTCTCCATCTCCCCACCCCATTCCCTCGCAGCAGACCCAGACCTTGTGTCAAGAAGACAAGGTCTTGGGGTCACATGCCTCCTGGCTTAGGAATCCCATCACTGAGAGGGCCACTTAGCCCCCAAGTCTAACCACAAGGGGCCAATTGTCCAGCCCCCCCAAGGAGCAGGCTTAAGAACTGAGCACAGCCCTCCCCCCCAAGAATGGCCACCCACTTTCTGGCACAAAGGGGCTTTTCTGGCTCCAGGGTCCAGATAGAAGGGGTAGTCTTCCATGAATTTTCCTCCCGACCAATCCCTGCCCTTCTAGTGGCTTGGGACTATCTACAAAGGACTTTCCATCTTCCTTTCCAAGGCCTATGGAGCCCTACAAGGCCTGGCCTTTGCCTACCTCTCCAACCTTTCCATTTCCTCCTCACTCCACTCCTCCCACCAGCCTCCTTGCTGTTCCTCAAACTTGCCTAGCTTCTTCCTATCTCTGCAAATATCCACATGGCTCATTCCTTCACCTCCTCCAGGGCTCTGCTCAAATGTTGTCTCTTCGGAGAGACATTCCCTGACTAACCTACCAAAATAGGTAATCCTCATACTCCTTAATCCCTTATCCTGCTTTATCTATACTAACAAAAGAGAAACATGCAAACTGACCGTCCCTTTGCTATACCCACTAACCAATCAGAGTGAGTATTCAAATTAACCCAACAAAGATGAAGGTTAATTTGCATAGCAGCAGACACGGGAGGGGCAGCAGAGAACCCCTATTACTCCGACTGCAGGAAGCTCTATTCTTTTTTTTTTTTTTTTTTTTAATAATTTTATTTAAAAATATATTTTATTGTTTTTTTACAGAGAGGAAGAGAGAGGGATAGAGAGCCAGAAACATCGATCAGCTGCCTCCTGCACACTCCCCACTGGGGATGTGTCTGTAACTAAGGTACATGCCCTTGACCGGAATTGAACCTGGGACCCTTCAGTCTGCAGGCTGACACTCTATCCACTGAGCCAAACCAGTCAGGCGACACCCAAGTCTTTTACTCATCCACCTCAGTTAATGGCATGTCCACACACCAGCTTTTCCTGTCACACTTATGGGAATTATCCTTGATACATCTAATCAGTCACAATGTCCTGACCATAAATCACTCAATACATCTATTTCTCTGCATCTTTATTCCCACTCTGCTCCATCTCTTACCTGCAAGAGCTTTCTCATACTTTTCCCCACAACCAACTTTCCCCTAACAATCTATTCTCCACAAAAATCACAGTTGCATGATCTTTACCAAAAAATGTTTTTACTGCTTGACTTCCCTTCAGTGGCCTTTGACTCAGGGCCTTCCCATGCACCACTGGGTCCCTGGCTTTCTTTCAGTTTGCCAACACTCAGACTCTTCCATGGCAAGGGCCTCTGCAGGAACTGTTTTCTCCGCGTAGGCAGCCTTCCACCTCCACCCCTTCACTTGTCTAGTTCCTTCAGGCCTGTTTCAAATTCCCTTCTCAAAGGATGTTGTCCCTGACCCTCTAGAACTGGTTTGGGTCCCTCCACATTATACCTTCATTGCAGACTGCCTTTTCCTCACTTCGCAGCACTTTTCACACTATTTCGACAGTGCTGAATGTTTCTTCTAGTTGTTTCATAAGAGCAAGGACTGCAAACCTGGCTTATTCATCAATGTCCTCTCAGTATCTCCTGTCAGGTAGACACTCAATAAACACTGCCTGCCTGCTTTTCAGAAACTGAAGCTCAGTGGGTTGAGTGACTTGCCCAAAGTCACATGGCTTGACTGTGGTAGTCAAGACTTAATTCCAGGTCGCCTAATTGAGTGTGTATTTTAGGGGGTAGAAGGATATTAAGACTTCTTGGTGGGTTGAGACAAGCCTACCATCTATGATCTGTTTCCTGGTCTCTGAGTGGCTGTGACAGCATGGGGGTCACTTTGACAGCAGGACTAAGAAGCCGGGGGCATGCCTGTCTCTCGCTCCAGATCTTAGCATGGGCCCTGGGAAGGAGGAGCAGCACTTCTCAGACCAGGCATGCCAGATCCCCTCCTGCAGCTCCTCCCAAGAAGTCAGTCCCCTAGAGAGACCACATCTACCTTCAGTTACATCAAATCATGGCTCCTGTCAGTTGCCTGGCAACCTCACTGGCCCAAAGGCCCACAGATGCTGCAAAAAAGCCCCATTTCTAGGGAAGCAGCTGTCAGGGATGTGTCTGATGCCTCTAGATTTCTATCCAAGGTCTGAGGGCTAGGGAGTTGTTATATGGGAAACTCCTCACTGTGTTCAAAAAAATGTCTTCTCCTGAGCTTGTGTCCCAAGGAAACATCCTCCCTCCTCCTGTTCTTGAGCTGCCCAAACTCTACCTAGTCTTCAAAGCTTGCCACTTCGTTCTTTCACCCTTCTCCATCTCCATCCCCCTAGCCTTCCTCATTTCTCCTCCATAGTCCCTGAGTTGGGAAGCTGCAGCCTGGGCAGCCAACCTTCTGCAGAGTAAGAACATGATCTCCATAAAACTTTTCAAATTCCGGATGTAGCTCACAGAAGCCCATTACTCCTGGGAGCTCTAAATCGAGATTCAATGATTATTGGAAAAAATGAAATGTGGCTTTTGTCCTGTCATAAGTTCTGTTTAAATACCTTTGATAATGGTAATAATAGCTAGCACTTACTGACTGCTTACAATGTGCCCGGGACTTGCCTAATGCACTTTACATGTATTAACTTACCTAACCCGCACAATAACTCTAAAATGTTAGAGACTAATACTATCATATTATCCCATTTTACCTAAAAGCAAATGGGGAATTGATAGGTTAAGTAATTTGCCCAAGGTCACAGTGAGTTAATGACAGATTTATACCCAGGCAATATGGGTCCAGAACCCTTGCTGTTAACCACTACCCTGCACCAAAGCTCACGAGGTAAATTCTCCTCTTTCCTGGGCTGGCCCTCTTGCCTACTTCACAGTCTCTGCTCACACCATTCTCCCCATTCATAACATCTCTCCCTCTGCCTCTCATTCTGCAGCCAAATCTGATGGCCCCATCCTCTCTGCCCGCTGCTGGCCTGACAGTACCTCCAGAACCAGGCACAGGCCTGGACTCTGCCACAGGACGAATTTAAGTGAGCCTGGGGGAAGGGAGTACCTGGGGGAAGGAGGGCAGTTCCTTTGTGGTGGGGAGGTGCTCAAGGTGCAGGGAGGACAGAGGCCATGTGGGAGGAAGAGTTTTGGACGCCAGTGTGGGATAAGTCCCATGGCACTCAGAGGTCCTGCGTGGAGGCATTCTCTGCTTCTCCCCGCCCCATCTGAAGCCCGGTTCCCGGGGCCCCAGTTCCACATTACAGGCTCCAGAGGACATCGCTGTCCCCTCACCCCCAGTCCGGTCTTAAAGGGGCCAAGGACACCGATGGCACCAGCTATTCCGGCATCCCAATTCGGGCGGGAACACACACGGGCGGAGGGGGCAGCACAGGAAGTGGGACTACCATGATGGCCGACCCCTGTAGCAGGAGCTCCCCAAACAAACCAGCGAGGTACCCGCAGGACTCCAGAATCGTGGGCGCGAGGGCGCGAGGGCGCGGGGATGCGGTGGCGGCCCTGGGACGACACGTGACGAGAGAGGCCTGAGCACGCTGGGATGTGCACGGCGAGAGTCAGAAACGGGGGGCCGGGGGCGCCGTGGGGGAGCACACAGGATGGGCGCCCTGGGGCGGCGCTCCGCGGCTCCCCTGGCCGGGCCGGGGCCGGGGCCGGAGCCGGAGGGGGAATCACCTGCTCCGTCGGGCGCCGCCAGCCACTGGTCCCGCGCGGTGCAGCTCTCATCCCGCCGCCCCACCAACGAGATCAAAGGCGGCGCCCAGAGCGGCTCGCTTCCAGGGGCGCCGCGGCCACCATGTTTGAGAAGGGCAGGTGCCCGTGAGTGGGCGTGGCTTCGGCTTCCCTTTTCATTGGTCCCGGGGTTTGGACGGGCTCCCGCAGCGGACACGTTTATTGCGGGGACGGAGGCGTTGGACCCGGAGGTGCCGCCTGTGGGTGGAGTCGCAGCACTGAATGGTTGTTTCTTTCTTTCTTTCTTTTTTTTTTTTTTTTTTTTTTTTAAATATATTTTATTTACAGAGAGGAAGGGAGAGAGTTAGGAACATCCTACACACCCTCCGCTGGGGATGTGCCTGCAACCAAGGTACATGCCCTAGACTGGAATCGAACCCAAGATCTTTCAGTCCGCAGGCCGACCCTCTGTCCCCTGAGCCAAACCCGTCCATGCAGCACTGACTGTTTCGCCGCCTCGTTCCATGTCTTCCACTCAAGCCCCTATCCAGTGTCTTCCCATCCGCCTTATTTCTTTCCCACAGAGTGTCCGCTTTATAGCTTTCTCCTCTCCTTGTGTCCCCCCCGTCCTTCCATAAGGTTCCCTGGCTGGATCTGGTGGCCCCTTTTCCCAGACCTAATCTTCTTGCCCCAAAATCCCAGTGCCTCTTCCCCTTCGTGTCCAGTCCAGGTTCAAATCCTGTTACCCAGGCAACGCTTAGGTGTTGACTACCCCACCATATCTGTCCCCTTTACGTTCCCTTAACAGAAATGTCTCCCCAAGACTGGGCATGGGGGGAGGATACAGGGTCTGGGTCTTGGATTGGGCAGAGGTGCGGGTGGGAAGGTGGTGTTCTGGGTGAGGATGGACCTGAGCTCAGACCCAGGAGGCCTGCAGGCCATGCTCA